AGGATAATACTGCACTATTTTGCATCATGTGATTCTATGTGACTGTGTGTCTAAAAAGGGATTTGGAGTAAACGGTACCTCTATCAGAAGGCTGCCCTCTTTCAACTTGAAGACAGCTCCTGTTTCTCCAGTTCCCAAGAGGACATTTGATACCAGCAAGCAGCAAGTACTAAGTAAAACAACACCTTTGGTCACCTGCTTTTTTTTTTTTTTTTTAAAGAAAGGATTTCATTTCTTGAAGGCTGAATACTTAGGTTATAATCAGGACTGCAAGGATGGAATGAAAGAGGAAAAATGTACAGTAAATGAGTGTCTGGAAAGTCTTTCTATATCTTTACAGGGAAGGGAAAACAGTCCTCTGAAGTCTATTGACTCTTAATGGTGCTGCAAATAATATATTTTCTGGATGTAAAGGAGAATCAAAACAAGAAGTATTCTAAAAATGTACATACATCTTTATCTCAAGGGTACTTATTTGCAATTACTTATTTGCAATTAAGTCTCTCTTATTTTAGTGTGGCAAACTTCTTGGATTATTTTAAGATGCAATGTTAATTCTAATTTAGGGATCAGGAGACTGGATGACTCATTTTTGTAGCCCACCCCTCCCCCACTTACAGTGTGTGCCATGACCAAACCACCAAAATGAAGCAGAATCCTGTCCATTTTTAGCAGCAAATCTCATTATTGCCCCAGCAGGCCAGGAAATAAATGAATAAAACACAGCTTCTGGATTGGAAAAAAAAAGTGGCCTTCACATTCTAGTTAGACTACCTAAATTAAAAATGAACTGCACGAATATTGCAGGGTATGAGTCAGCCTCTAGACTATGTTTGATGGTTAAATCCAGCACCTGAAAGGTTGCAGATTGTTCTTCTCTGCCTTAAATGTGCATTTGACAAATTCCAAATATTCTCTCAGAATAATGCCTCTGGTTTTAGGCACCAGTATTTTTTCCCCAAAAGATAGCAAGTTATTTTGTTTCTGGGAAATGAATTACCATTTAGCGGTTTGATCCACTGTTTACGTGAGAAAACAGGTGCACAAGTTCTTCAGGTAACCTGCTGCATAAATGTCCTTCACATATTAAGAAATCTTTTTTTAATACCAAAAGGCTACAAAGTTCAATCAACCACAGGGTTTTGTTATACTATCCCTCAACAGCACAAAACATCTGTGTAGCACAGACATGGCCAAAGCCCCCTTTTTGGTTACCACAGTTATCCTGCATTAGAGAACTCCTCATTAAGAGTAGCAAAATTGAAGATAGTCCAACACAAGATAAATGTTGGCAGAACATTCCAGATAGGTAGCAGAATAATGGAAGTGCTTCTCATCAGCAGTTTGGGATGGACATAATTATGAGACTGACTGGGATAGTGGAGGCAAAAAGTCTGTTCTGGACAATGGCAGCACAGGAAATAAATATACCTATATAGCCAAACCCTCATTAATAACTTAACTTTTAGTGTTGGCACAAATAGCTTCCCCCCACTGATTTTATTGGTTCATCCTGAAAATCACCTATCAGATCAGTACAGTTCCCATTGAAATTAGCAGCTCTGGGCTGTAGCCCATCATCCCAATAAGGACTCCCATGGATTGTGAAATTGGCAAAAAACAACTAAACCTATTTGGAAATCTATTAGCAAAATTTGCTCTTTGTGGCACATCTGGTCATAACCATCCACATTATTTTTGGGAATACTCGCCTGTAACACTCTAGACATCCCTGAACGGCAACCATTTTTGTCATTTTCAGAATAAATAACCCTGTTACAGCAAGGAATTGTCTAGCAATTCCATGACCCCATCTACAAAGGTCCCTGTCCTTAATTACCTGGGAATGCCAAGCTCTACAAACGTGTAGTGGTTGAGTAGTGCTATCAAAGTGGAAGTCCAGATCTCATTCAGCAGAATGAGCAGGAAGTCCAAAAATATGGCAGACCTGACTGATCACTAGATCATTTAACACCATGAAGTTCAGAGTCTACAGCTTCCTGTGTGCAGTATAGTACTTATCTGATCGGCACCTTACAAATATAGTAGTTGTGATGTGCACGGTATGCATAGATGCAACTCTGGTATTTACCTGGGCAATTTGTGAAGCTTTTCTGAGCTGCTACGTTTGCCCAACTTTTCTATCATGTTTACAAATTTAACAGAAATAAGTATACTTCTCTCTTTACTTGAGCTTGTCCCTCTTCACCAACAACTATAGAAACAATTTTATTTATCAGTGTTGGCTTCTTTATAACCTAACAGTTAGAAAATATACTAAAAGTAGAAAATTAATTGGGGAAAAACTTTTTAAGGTAAAAATGCCACACTTAATTTCAAAAAGAAATTATGATGTACCAAGATTTTAATATACAAGTTTTCCAATCTAGGGCCTCTGAAAAGAAAGACAAGTTTATCTGTATTTTCTAAAAGACTGCTATCATATTAATTACAGAAATTAAGTGACAGATGCTAACCTTACTGTACAAGTCAATCTGAGTGCTTATGTTCTGGTTCAGTGCTATACAGCTTGGGTTTTATGGACCTGGTATAAGAATAACCATGTTCAGTTGGATACATTCAGGTGGCATCTACTCAGCAAATATTCACATTCTTTTTTAGGTCTAAATTAATACAGACAAACTTCAGTTAGGAGTTACTTCCTTGCTTTGCTTTTCTGCTAGAAACTACAAACTCTTGTTGAGAAGCCTCCTTGTACTCTTTCTCCACATTTGATTAGAAAGTGTATTATATTGTAAGCCAAGCCCAAATTTCACAGAAAGCACATATTTGTAGTGAAGTCATTTCTTTAATATGGCATATACAAAGCAAGTCTCCCAATTTCATGGCATAATTCAACACTGCCTCCCCCCCCCAAAATCTTTCTTTAACCTGGTGAATGTCATTTGCAGCTCTTTCTGAGAATGAAAGTGGGACGTACTCTAAGGGAAGATTATGGTGGAAATGGGAAAGTCATGATAGTGGGTTTCATCAGATTCAATTTTCCCCCTAGAAAAGTCTTTGCCTCCTGAACATTATAGCTTTGAACACTGAAAGAAGAAAGCCTTGGAAGAAATTGATACTGCTCAGAATTACACACTATGCAGCTGGTATCTGGACTGGAGAGAGTATGTGCTTGGCTTGCAAGCAGAATTCTTCATGCAGAAATAGTGGTAGGTAACACAGTGTTACATGCATGTGCGTGTATGAAAAAAGACTATAAACTACTCTTTTTTCACAGCAAACTGGATCTGTAGTTCCCCTATTGCTAGTGGAGAAAAAAATACAGAAAAGCCAGCTAAGCATTGAAACAGCTGTCCAATTTGATGATTTTTACATAACTACCTGTGAGATTGGGAAAAACTGACAAATCCTACTACCCATTTTCAGCACAACTTTTAAGAGTCATCATCATTGGAGAAAGATACGCACAACAAAACAATGAAGAACACACCCAAGACTGCCTAGATCTCCCAAGAGAAATCCCAATTCATCTGGCAAATGCATTGGACAACTCTGCAACCTCTTCCTACTGTTTGCTTTGCTTTAGTGTCCCCTATTGCAGCAATGATTAACCTAACCCAAAGCAGTCTGGAAAGAAGGCAGGAAGAAGGAAAGGGGCAGATTCTCTTCTCTGATCTTGTCTCCTTTGGATATCCCTCTCTTCCCCAAGAAGTGCAATGCAGAGCAGACAGGCCCTCTTGTAACCATGGCACACCAATCCGCAGAATGGCTCATAAAGCGAACATTGCATCTTCATCTTTCTCCTTCTTTTGCTGAGGACCGGACTTAGTAGACATGGAAGGAGCCCCTGTGGAGGCACTAGGAAGGGTAGGAAGTTGATCTGCCACCTTTGCACGCTCCTCAAGGAATCTGTCAAACTCTGGCAAGAAAGAATTGGGGAGAATTTTAAAAGAGGAAGAATTAAACCAGGGCTGGAAAGGCATTGGGAGGAATTAGCTGAAACATCTGTGAGGGCTTCTTGGTGCTCTCTGAGCTCGGTTGTTTTCTTTCAGACATTTCATTACCCGTTTGGGTAATGAAAGGCCTGCAAGAAAACAACCAAGCTCAGAGAGCACCAAGGACGCCTCATTTCAAGTCTGAGTTACAAATATTCTCTTCTGTTGGTGAAACACCTATCTGGAGTTGCACAGTTCATATCACTGTGGTAATAATCAATGACAAAGAGTTGCTTTCATCAGGACATTTCTGAATGCATAGCTACAAGAGCTAATAGATCTAACAGATCCTAGTAACCCTATTAGGGGGTTACAAAAATTGCAGGTATGCTAAGAAATCGTATGTGTGTGTTGTTCATATAGGATGGTTTGATTTTAGACTTTGTACACATGGGGTCAATAAATGAAGAACATTTCAGGCCTAGTAGCTGGGGAATATTAGTCATAAGAGCAGGATATACAATTGGGTATAACTTGCCTTCACTGGTGACACCCTTTGGATCCACTGTCTCATTTCCCTGAGGAGGAAAAAAAAGGCAAAATGGAAATCAAATAAGGTTAAATAGAAACTCACAGGGCTCACTTGGAACAGAATGTTCTATAAATACTAAGATCTGGTATATGTTCATCCATCATACCTACAGAGTAGATAGAGTTTCAAGGAGCAGTTGAGTTTGGGACACTGATATCAAATTTCTGTTTTTAATGCTGATATGTCAATGACAGACAGATCTGGCCACAAAAAAGGAAGAGTAGGCATTTCCTTTTCTGCCTCAGAAGAGACTCAAGGAGAGTAGTGCAAGAGAAGAAGTCAGTCTCAGTAGTTAATACTTATCATCTCTATAAGCTAGAAATAGAATCTAGGATTCCCCCTCCCCCCCATATACCATTTAGTATATGAGGGGGAGACAGCTGGTAGGATGTGCCAGTAATTAGCTCCTTATACACAAGCATTTCATCTTTATTACATACCACTTCAGTGGAGATCCACTGTTCAATTTCTTCCATGAAAGCAGCCTGGGGTACAGGAATCTGACAAGGAAAGTGAGAAAAAGAAAAAGACCAAATAGACCTTGCATACCCATGTTTGTGAAAAAAAAAATATCCTCAAATCTCAGGTTTAAAAAGTCATGGTTTAAATCAGTGCAATTCTTGGGGCCCATTTTTGATTCAACATTTTGTCAGTATGATTCAGTTTCTGAAGATAGCTTGTTTTTGATATACTGCCTGTAAAACTAGGCAGACCTTGGTCGCCCATTGATTGCGTCATTGATTGTGATGTATTGCTATGTCCTCTTGTGATGGCTCTGTCTAGTTTTGTTTTATTTGGATATTTGATTTATGTGTGGCCTTTGGCTGTAATAAATTGAATTGATATAATTGATTGATTGATTCAACATTTCTTAAATGAAGCCAGCATTACTGAAGAATGGTTAAAAATCTTTTGCACCCAGCTTGGGTCTTACCTTGCAGGTACAGATGGTATGGATAATATCATAATGTATATGGAGAGACATAATTAATTAGAAGGCTTTGATATATGTTTTAATTTTATCAAGTACAGCATAAAAACCTTCTGTGTTTTAGTTTATTTTAGGTCATACCACTGTATTTAACAAGCTTAAGGAACAACATTTTTCAAAACAAAATCAGGTAATTTATGTCTAGCAAAAGTACTTCTGTGGACTTCTGCTTTACTCCCATCTTCTAATATAAAGGCCACTTTAAAGTTCTCATTGTGCCACTCTGGCACAACAATCATACAGTTAAGATCTGACAAATAAGATCTCTCAAAGTTTCACTTCTTTCCTCTACACTTTCATCTCTTTTGGTTAATTATTACCCCTTACACTAATCTTCTTCATACAATTGTTTATGTGGGGAACAAGTGGAGGAAAGAGTGATGTGTATGCTATTTGGAGTTTCCGAATGAAAGGTAGGATGTAAATCCAACAAAAAATTTAAATAAGATTCTCAGATTTTGCCCATTTCCTGTGTTTAGTAAAATATCTTTAACATATTCTTAAAATTGAAAAGAAATAGGGTTTCTTATATAAACACATTGGTGTATTCAGTCAGCCATTTTTATTTATTGCTATTAAGCATATAACCTGTGCCTGTGATACAAAGGGTTTTGTTTCCATTACAAACCAAAAATAAAAACTTGCCTGGGGAATTATATTGTAATTTCACAATATAATGATGAAACGCCACTTCTTACTTCCCCACGTCTTCATTTTTAAGTTCATGTTCCTATCTTAGACCAAGTAAGCTTATCTTGATAGCCAGAATGTGCAAAAGAAAGAATATATATTTATTTTGGCTTTTATTTTTCAAAAGCAAGCAGGTGTGGTCTCAATAGACAGATTCTTAAGAAAAAAATGTTCAAAGTTAAAACACAAATACCATTAAGGCAGAAAAAGTATTGGAAAACAAAGAGAACTGAACCAAACGAGTAGAAGCCAACTAGCCCAAGGGAAGAAATTATGCAATCAGTTCCATTAAAGCCACTCCAGGAGTCTGATCTATTTTTATCTCATTCTCTTTCCTCTGCCGAGAAAAAGCTCTTTTTTCTTCTTCTTCAAACTGGGTTGAAAATTTGACGAAGAGAGGCATTATTAAGAAAAATGCGGTCATAATTTTTTTTATTCTCAGAAGAGCTTTCTGGAACAGATGGAAATGAGAGCTACAAAAATAATGCAAAACAGTGTATGGGTTCAGCTTGGATAAAGCAGTACAATTCCAATCCTAGGATGATGTTATTGATTAGTTCAATGGCATTTATAATCCTGGAATCTCAGGATCAAAATGATAGGTAGCTGGATATTGATTCTAGCGTTTGTGCATATATTTCTCCTGAAAGTGGATGCTATAGAAAAAAATCAAAAGAAAAAGCAAAGCAGAACTTGGCACTAGATGACAGTATGTGCCCTATGTGAGAGTACAATCCTTGCATGATATGGAACCATAGGATATGGCCACTTCATAATCCTTTATCACTCTTCCTCCTCCCCACCCCAAACATTTCTAGTCTCTTATGAAGATAGTCAGAAAGAAATAATGGATTTTTTGTACATAATCTCTGGATTGTAATGCAATGCAAGTGCATTCAGAGTTGTACACATTATGTTACAAAGATGGTGGGAATAAATTAAAAAATCTGTAAAAGATTCTATTTTGACTATTGTAAAAACCTTTCCTCTACCCAGGTAGTATCTGGAATGTGGCATTTTGAAGGAAAGCTTTCTTGGCTTCAAACCTAATCATATCACTTTGTCTGCTGTTGTCCCCACACAGTGTTCAATCCGTGCCACAATATGCTTGATATTCTTTAAGCGCTTTTTAAAAGCTTCCCCAGCAATGATACATTCTTACCATTCCTTGGCGCATCATCCAGTTTGTAATCGGGGCCTCATCAGTAGAAGCACCTGGCTCCAGCTAATTAAGAAAAAATTTGCTTTCAAAGAAGATAGAAAATGTGGATGATGAGGAGAGCAGGGAGCAATGTTCTCAGTGGGGGAACTATCCCCTCTCTATCTAAAAGATCACGGGGGACCTTCTTTTCTGCCTGTCATTCTTTTTAATGAAATTGAAGGAACTTATGTCCCAAGTCCATAAGAGAAGGTTGAATTATCTATAGAACAGAAAGAAACTGGATGGAGAAACAGTGCTTTTTGCTCTTAAGGACTGAGTTAAAAAAGGACCTATTTAGGGGTCTAACTCAGACTTTGAAAGAAGCTCGATTCAGATGAACTATATTTGAAACCTATGTTACTACAAAGTGGATTCAACACAAGAAGATGATATATTTAGAGAACTCATCTTTTTGACTGTATTTACCCCAGGATGAATGCATACGACTCATTCTCTTTTGCAGTGTTTTTTTTAGTATTGTATTTTTGGAGCTTGATGACTGTTTGAAGATTGAAGAATTTTGATGATACATACAGCATTTTTAATTACTATCTTTTCTTATGGTTGAGCTATAATAATTCCAATATACTGTATTGTAGAACAAAAGTATTATGAGGATTAAAATGTTATATACTTCAAAACTTGTAGAATTAGCTTTTAAATATTTGGGTTATGTTTTCCCAATTAGAATGAATTTTAATGAATTATTGGACATAATGCAGTGCATTACTATGGATCTTTGGTTTGTATTATTGCTGAATGTATGTGAGTAGTCTATTGTGATTTCTTATGAACTGTTGTGGGAACTATATCATGAAAAAGTGCTTAAAAATGAATTGAAATCTGAAATCATTTTTGCCTCCTCTTAGAATTCCTTTACAGAATTTACCCTTACTACGGGTAGATGGTACGTTCTTTTACTTTGGAGAGGTACCTATATTCATATACAAATTCTACATGAAAACATAGAAACCTGTATTATAAAGGATATTACAATCTCCCCAAATTTAGCATCCTTCAGTTATGTTGAATTACGCTTCACATTGCCTCAGCAAAAATAACTGATTGTGCTGGTTAGAGATCAGTGGTACATATAGGGAGGTACATGATGCCTTGAACAGGCAAGATATGCTTCTTCAGTTATATAGTTATGTAGTTATATATACAACTGTCTAACAGTTTGATAGATAGCTACTCACTGCTCCTGTATTCTGTTGTCTGGCATCCAAGGCTCCAGCTAGACCTTTTGTTGCTAAAGGATCTTCATACTTCACCCTGAAAGAGGAAATCAGGTTAGCCAACAGACATGGGTTTGGGCATTTTATCTAAAGCACAGATATATGTTCTAGATTTCTGGGGTGAGGTTGGAGGTGCTTTATATACAGAGAGACAGACAACACACACAGACCAACACAGACATACCAATAGTCAGGCCCAATAGAAATGTAATATAAATTACATTAAATATCTGCTTTGTCATTTTCTTTTAAACTTTCTTACTCATTTAATGTATAACAGTTGAATGTTCTTAAGTAAACTACATTTTCTCTGAAGAAAAAAACCATTTTGATTGACTTATAAGACTTGACTTGTGGTTATCTATCTATCTATCTATCTATCTATCTATCTATCTATCTATCTATCATCTATCTATCCATCCATCCATCCATTCATCCATCCATCCATCCTGCCCGTAATTTGGTAAACACTAGCATATATATGTACTTAGGTTGGCCGTAAAACCAAATTTTAAAAAAGAGGTAAGAGAGAAAGGATTTAGAGAAAATTTTAATGTCAAAATGAATAAACTCCCCTTCAATTGTCTCTTTTTATAGGCTCATACAATATTAAAGAATTTTCTAGGAATATATGGTGACATCAGACATTAGATTTATTATACTGATTAGTTGTGGACATTTGAGGATGAAATAAAAGAGCAAATTCAACTGCATCAGAGATCGGAAAAAGAAGCTACAAATAGTTGCATACAAAGTTAGAATTCACATTTAGAAGTAAAATATCAATCAGGCAAACAACTATTTCATTATTGGTAATCAGTAGAACTCTCAGATGTATTATTTACATGTATGTTCACAATTTTGCTTGACATCCTCAGAATAGCTTCTAGAAAGGTGTGAACCTGCAGGCTCTTCTGTGTATTTATGAGTGACTGAAAGACTATACCCAATCTCTGCCCAAGTTCCATAACAAAACTGCTGACTCCTAGAATTTATAAATAATTGCTTAAATGTAAATATCAGTAGTTGTTGAAATACATTTGGATAGCATTAATAAGGTTGATAAGACACTGGCAGCACAGAAATGCTGGTGTCAATATTTCTAAATTCTCGAGCATTCTTTGTAATATATCCTTTAACTACCCATCAATCTCAGATTTGTAGAATCCTTCATACTTTAAGAAATGGCTTACTTTGTATTTTGAGAAGGCCATGTGAAAACTGTAGAAAAGTTCTTACTCCACATTTCATCTCTGTACGTTTTCCACTGTAACTGTAGTACTACAGTTATGAAATCTTCTTCTCAGCTACTTAATCTCTTTTAGGAGGCATGTGAAAAATGTTTTGCCAGGCTGTAGTTATAGTTGGATGATGTTACTGGTGTGAATTATTTATTATTTTTAGCGGACTTAGAATGGCTGTAAATCATCTTAAGCACTGATGTGCAAGAATAAAGTGAGCAAAGGGTTAAGAAGATGCAACAAAGATTTTAAGTCTAAGTCTTTGATAGTTAGATCTTTTGCAATTGCATATTGATTTACATGCATATATACTAGGTGAAGCAGTTGCAACTGTTTCATCCTAAAATTTAATATTCAATTATAGTTTCACTGAACTTTACTGTATGTTTTCTCAATGAGATAAAGCACAGAGACAGATTGCATACCTACAGAATCTGTTTTGTTAGAATTAAAGAATTCTGAGTTTGCACATCTATTGAATATCAGAATTAAATGGAGTGCCTAGTCATTTCACATAAAAATCCATTCCTAGTCAGCTTAAACTTTATTTTGGTATAATAGTTTACAACTAATGTAGAACCAATTTGTTTGATGCTAAACTGAGTTAGAATAAGTAATTTTAGAAAAAGTTATTTTATTACAAGAGTACTGAAGTGGATTGGCTGAGAATAGGTGAAAGGCTGTAAGTCACCCAACGATTCTGAGTCTTCTCAGCCCAACATCTTACGAACTAAACTTTAAAAACCCAGTTTGAGAATCTAACCTAATCCTCTAATCAAATCTATTTCTCATTTTGAGAAAAAAATGCAGCCTGCATACACTAAGCAAATAACACTCTTGCATGCTATCTTTCAGTTTGATATTTTACGGAAGTTATTTTGATGTTGGTAGTTGGTAGCGAAGGTTAAAGGATTATAATAGGTATTAATCTGCTGTGCCCTGCCCCTAGCAATCTGTCTGCTTGCTTTTTGAGATTTTTGCAAATATCATTTTAAGTATAGCTCTACAAGAAGAGGGAATAAAGTACTTTCATTTAATAGTTTTATAAGCACTCGATATAGAACTGCTCGTGCACATAGATCTACATTTATCTCTATTTTACTTTAATATATGAACCTAACACACATTACATGCTCTGTTTTGCAGATAAAATTAGACTGGCATAACGTTTCCAGATTAATTAACGCATACTGGTAGTTATTGCAATGCCTTTTCAACTGAATATCATTTCATAGAAACTATTTCATAGAGTTACACATTTTTTGACAAAAATAACTAATTTTTGTTATTTACTCTAAAATATACCCAGATCTGCCTTCTGTCTACATTCTATCTAAATAATTTCTTATACAGGGTCAATGCAATCTTATTTGATGTTGCCCCAGAAATGAGCTCCGCCGAGCTCATATTTCTGTTCCACCCATAATTACTGGGACTTGTTCCTTCTTGCAGCCAGGGGGTTGGGCCACCTCTGCTCAAACTTTTCAAAGAAATGCTTGTCAGTGAAAGGCCCACTGTGCACAATAGCATCAAGGATGAAGCAGAGTCCCACCACCAAACCAGTGATAAGGCAGAAAGGTAGGAATGGTTTAATGTTTTGCCAGAACTTCTGCATGATGCTTATGATGTTTGGAAAGACACCCAAGCCCAACTCCAATAAAGTTATCTTGATCTGACAGTCAAAGCATAAGAAAAGAAAAGCACAAACGTATGTGGAAGTAGAGGCAGGCTGCAGAATAGATAATCCCAATCTGGTTTGCGGGCAAAAAATTAAAATAGGAGGCAACCAGTCCAACTTGAGATAGCAGAATAAACGGAAGGTGTCCCTTTATCAGAAAGATTACATTTGCCTTAATCATAAGAGGATCGAGAGGTGCTGGAGAAAATACGCTGCCAGTTCCTGTGCAATTATCCAGAGGGGGAAAAGATCAGCCAGAGTGGATGTCAAGAGATTAGGTTTCAGCTGCTTCTAGTGCTGGTTCACTCTCTCTGCTTTCTTTCCAAATAGTTCCCAATTCTACTTCATATTCCATTAGCAGCAAGCAGGCCGGGATTAGTCTTCCTGCAACCTGGTATATTCATGGGGTGTCTGTATTCTTCCTCTGGATGGTTTCCCTTCATCTTTGAACCAGGCAGAATCTCTGAAAAGGCGCTCTCTGCGGCAAGCATTATAAGTTCTTCAGTGGCAGCAAGAGCTGAATCAGTGATGCCTAGCAACATACTGGCACACTGCCTATTTTGCTAAGTGTTGGAGGGTGCATAAGTGCACATGCCCGTAAAAAACATCTGTTTCTATTAGCAATGATGTCACTCAAAAAGACTTGCTCTAATCTTATGCTATCAAGTCTGAAAAATATGCCAGGACATAGCTGTATTTTTTGGGAACTACTGAGTTAGGCAGGATCCTCAAAATTAGCTATATATCATTGTAAGACTAAAGCCAGATGAATAGTACTTAGAATTTTGTATCATAGTTTTTTGGTATACAAAATGCCTCATGTAAGTTTTATAGCCATTTTGCAGAGTGGAACAGTACTGCCATTATTCTTATTAAACAAATCTTGGAATAAAGTGAGGGAAGGTGCAATGTCTAAGAAAATTATAGTTATATTAAAGCTATTTGGTGAATGCATGGTTTTGCATCAGGAATGTGTCAGCAGAGTGTGTTAAAATAGCCTGTCCTATTGCAGGAAATTTCTGTTGCTTTATACAGAGAAGAGCTGTGTCATCTTTTAAGATGTTTATTTACCAAACAACTAAGTAATTAAGAATATGTGAGAAAATTAAAATCAAAGAACTTTCTGACAAACAAGCAGTTTCCTCAGAAAAATGTTAACTCAGCCATACACTGTGGCAACAGCTGTTTTTAGCTTGCATAACAGCTTGCAGACAATCTGCATCACTGCTACTAGATAAACAAGATGCAGATCCTCAACTGCCAACCACCTGTTAAGCAACTGTTTGAAATTACAATGGTGCTGAACGAAGGGAACTACAAATTGTATTTGAAGTTCTGACTGCTGTAACGACCCTGTGTTCACATGATCACAATTCAGGAACTTGAAAATTTGTCAATCCTTACAACCGATCTCAGGGATGCTACAACTGCCCCCACCAGCCTATCTCCCCCACCCAATTCCGTTCTATTATGTCTCTTGGGCCTCTTTCCACTTGGCAGAGCCCCTAGAGGCCTTGGCCTGTTCCCTGTCCCACTGAATCCAACACCCTTGGGCCAGTTCTGATGGGCCTTGCTCCACTTACCTCTTCCCAAGATTGCCTTTCTGAAAGAGAATTAGTCCATGTGCTTTTCTATACTTAGTGCCATCCTGGAACATGTGCCATTTTGGAAGCAGTCACAACTCTCACAATCCAAGAATGACAGTCATATCCAAAATGGCACCTGCCTCCAAGATGGCACTAAGCAGCTTCTATATAGGAAGGCTGTGTGGCATATCAGCTGATTTTCTTTTGGAAAGGAGATCTCCAAAGATCAGTTTTCCAACAGAGTGTCCAGCCGATGTGCCCCACAGGCTTTTACAGAGGCTGCCTTGCACCATTCTGGAAGTGGCTGCCATTCTTGCAATCTCTCAGAAGGACATGATTTTCCAAATTGCATGAATTGGAAAATCACGCCTCTCTGAGAGATTGCACAAATGGTGCCCACTCCAGAACATACAAAGCTGCTTCTGCAGGAAGACTGTAACCTCACATTGGCTGGGAGCACTTTTGGAGGTCAGAAGAAGTCAGTGGAACAAAGCATGACAGGGACAGAAGGCCCAAGGGGCAGGAAGCTGTGCAAGGGGTGCCTTGAGGGTGTGAGAGGTCCTGAAAACCCAGCACAGCCAGAGTGAGCCGGGGAAGTGCACAACAGTAACTAAAGCATTAGTCTTAATTGACTGTTACCTTGCTAAAACTGCACTTATTCATAATTCTGTTCTTCATTTGGTCCATGTTATTAACAACAAACTTTCCATTTTATTGCAGCTGCAATTCACAGAAACCTCTAGAGATTTAGGAAATGCCAAGGAGGACAGGGAGTGGAGGAGAGGAATGTGCTAATTACAGCTGAGGTTAGTCCTAGTTCTTCTGAGTAAAACAACAAACAGTCTTTTGAAATTTCAACAACCTAATTCTGAAAACCGCACTAGCATTATTGTTAAGGCATAATAAGACACAAAATATGTTTTCTTAGTATCACTGTATTAAAAATTTAAGGAGTCAATACCTAAAATTCAATAGTTTATTGTCAAAAAGGAATTCTAATTCTGAATGGTAATACTCATTCCCAAACTGACACCAAAACTAGGAATTTCAACTTCACATACAACATGGAAAGACTGATGCTATGCGAGCCAAGTGACATCACTTTCAAAACTTATTTTTCATAATATTGGCAGCCTTGATTTCAGTCTCCTGGTTTGTCCATTTTTCTTTTCTACTTGCAGGAGTTAAGAATTTTGGATTAACAACTTCTTTCCTAGCATGAAAAAATATGGAAGGGCAGATAGTCGAAAAGCTTTTGAAATTATGTCTACATTTTAAAAAATGTTTTACATAGATTAAATCAAAATGGCACCAGTAAAATCTGAATACATTAATTTACCAAATTGGGCATTCAATCTCTTAGTTTGAAAAATTTGCTTTACATTATTAATTTTTGCCCATTTTAATATAGTGGGTATATTCACTTACTCTTTGCGTTGTTCAGCTAAGGAACTGCCACGGGTCAGTGCAAACATATCAAACTCTTCTTCCAGTTTGCTGGAATTATTGAGGGACTGCAAACCTGCACTGACACTGCTAGAACCAAGATCTACAAGGCAAAAGACAGCAAGGTATCTCTAGAATGTTAAAAATATATGAAGATGTAATGAACCTATCAGTCTGAAAAAGAATCAAGCTTTCTTGCATGGAGGGGGCAAATTCTCCAGAAGAAGAAAGTATTAGAAAGATCTATTGTGACTTCTACATAGCATGCATTTGGCCAAATATGGCTATCTGGTTTTTAGTAATTTCTCAATAAATCTGCCTATTACTGCTTGTGTTTGCCTGAATTCAAACAATGTTGTTGTTTTTTTTATTAGGAGGGAAATTGTATAAAAACTAGAGAGAGCTTGCCAAATGGTCAGAATTGTGAATGTGAATGGGGAAAATAATTTTGCAGCCCTACAAACCCAACTAACATACTTACCAATTCCTGCAAGTTGAGATGAAAGTGTATTGGCAGTTTCAGGAACTTTTTGTGCTGGTGTGATACTAGGTCCCATGTCAAGCAGACTGTTTTCATTCTCTGTGTCATTTTGTTGCTTGGAAAAAAAAGTAAAACAAAATGTATTTTGCTAATCTTGGATTGCTGTGAAGGACTGTAGCATTTCTTTCAAAACATGCCTCCCAATTCACAGATCATGTGTTTGGATTTGTTGGGGAAATCCAACCAAGGATATGAAAGCCTGAGAAAAGGGTGATATGAATGAAAAGTTGCTACATTACAGTTAAATAGGGGTGTTAGGGAAACAAATGAATAAAAGGCCACATAGCCCTTCCAATGTTCAAAGGAATTCTCACACAAGCATTTCCTGGGGCATCTTAAGACTTCAAAACATATCAGACTTCATGCTTCCAATGTAGGTTCTACTATGCAATCAGTAAAATTTTGGGGGCTCCCTGGAGTTGAAGTTTATGGAGTTGAAGGATGGTTATGAATGTATATGACAAAAATGACAAGTCTAATAATGTACACAAATTAAGAAAAGTGTTTCTGAGTTGAAATGAAAATATTATTCACCATCTCAAACTATTCCCTATTGGCTGTTGATATCCCATTTCTATCTGGAAAAGTCAGAACTGAATCTAGGATCTTGGGCACAGAGTACACAAACTCTTCCCCTGAACCACAACAATTGCCCTAGTTTAGGATCAGTCCAAACAACCAGGTATACTGATGGATCAATCCTCCTAGAATTTTTCTCTAAATCTAGTAAATGCAAAACTTAGTTAAATTTTATGTATCGTAAAGTGACATGCATCCTGAATCATAAACTGATGTGCATCCTGTATTGGAAACATTTTGGCACAACCAAATGGAGGTAAGTTCCCCAGCAAAATGCCACTAGAACTGTTAACATCTTTTTGTTGTTGTTTAGGTGGAAAAAGCCCAACTACAAATATCTGAAGCCAAGAAGGATTATACAAAATAAGTTCAAGTATGCTTTTGCAGCCACTATCTATTTTATCTTATTCTCTAGCAGTATCAATATGACCTCATGAGCATGCTTTGAAGGAGTACTTAGTGGTCAAAGAATTGCATTAGGACAAGGAAATCCCAGGATCAAGTCCACCCACAGCTAAGGAAATTTACAGGTAATTTTAGGCCACATACTCTTTCAATCCAAGCTACCTCTCTGGGTTGCTTTGGAGGGTACAGATTGGTAAAGGCAATGTATGTTCTCCTGAGTTCTTGGAGAAAAGGTGGGCTGTAATTCAAACAAACTAAGTAAATGCTGAAATACCTTTGCAGACTGGCCAGATCTGAGCCGTTCAAACCTATGAGGATCAAGGAGATAGATTCAATGGAAAACAGCAGGCTGGTTTATTTATAAAAGGGAAGGGAAAAAACAAGGGAAAGGAAAAGTTGATCTCAGAAATACCGTTCATGGCGCAGGAAAATATTGTTGAGGTTGTCATTCACAATGAGCAGCTCCTCAGTTAGCTGTTCATTGAGGATGCGGGGAATCAGCTCCAATATACGCTGCTGCATTGCTTTACATGTCTGGTTGAGTTCCTAGACACAGAAGGAAGGTACAAGTTATGAGAACAGAACCAAAGAAACTAAGTTAAGAAGCAGCTGCTAATAACTAATCGGTTAAAAATCTAGGTTTACTCATCCAGGTCATGAATCCGAAAATTAGTTTTTGGGGTTAGGTTCAGGCTCAATGATTGCTAGGTTGAACTAAATGTCACTAAATAGTAGATGTCACATTTCAGCACTTCGTACCTGGAGCAGTTCAAGGTCAGAAGATTCAGTTTGTCCTGGCACTAATTCTGTTAACATCTCAGACATTACTTTTACATTTCCATTCACCACTTCCAATTCACTGCGTAATTTTCCAATCTGAAAACAACAATAGAGACATTTTCTAAGCATTCCATTACTGATATGTTGCCTTAATTTGTCAAACTAACAGTCATCCAGCTAGTATAATCTGGTTGCTCTTGTCTATCAAGTTTTCTCTGTTCTGCTAGGTGTGATAATTTACGCATAAATAAGCTCAGTATTTTCCTGCTCCCTTCCTGGCTATTTCCAGAAATCTCCTCAAATTAATTTTAGATTCTGAGTTAACAACACATATTCCTCTTTTACCTTGAATTCTTCAACTCTATGGTTAGACAGTTGCAAATAGAGCTGATTTTGTCCTACGTTAGAATAGATAACTGGAATTTTGTCTGAAGTGTTATGTTATTACTGTCAATATGACCTAAAGTCTAACAGCTAAAAGTGAAAGCTAAGAGGCACCATTTCAAACTTTTCAGATAAGTTATGAATAGATGACAAAGGGTGTGACATATATACTAATGGAAGTGGACTTACTGGTGAATAATACATGGAAGCCTGGCTATTCCCTTCACCCCTGGCTTCTGCTCAGAAATAATGTTTTTATACCGAACATCTGTATGAAAAATGTAATAGGATTGCTATCTTATTTTACTGTCAGCCAAGGAAAGATTGGAATCCTTATATCCTGTCTAAATCGTCTGTTTGATATTGTTACTCTTTCAGACAAACATGTCCTTTGACATTGGTCCATAAGATGCATGGATTCTTATTTCAGAAAGTAAAAATGGGTAGCTATTCTGTTCCAGCCTATAGCTGTCCTTGTTAAAGGCACAAGGACAAAACCCCTGTTGAAAAAAATAAGCTGGAGACTCCAAAAGAAAACAAATCCCTTTTTAATATGGGTGACAAACCTATAAATAGTCCAGAAACCGAAACAGCAAAACACAAGCCAAAGGGAGGAAATTGTCCACATGAAATACAAGGCAAAACAGAAGAGTAATCACCGGCAATACTAACAGAACAAGATTCCCATAAAGTACTTTGCAACGGTTGCCTTCAGCAACCAGCACCACCCACACATTCCCCTTTTGTAAGTCAGTCCTCAAGGCGTGGCTTCTCAGTGCCTTCTCCTGAGTCGTCCCATAGCCTCTCTCTGGTCTACTCTCCTAGCTTGTCTCCTTTTTCGGGTGTCTCTCATTTCCGACAGCTGTGAGACATCCGAGTCTGACTCTTCCTCCCCACCCAGCTGCAGCTCATCCTGCACACGATTGGAGGGGCCTGGCTCCTCACTGGAATGTGAGTCTTGTAACTCCTCAGAGCCTCCCTCCACCTCCTCCTCCTCAGATTCCCCGGACTCTGCTGTTGAGAGCACAGGCTGGCTCAGAGTCACGACAGGTAGCCTTCAACAAGAAACTCTTATATGTAGAGAAAGGAGTGGTTAGCGTTGCTCTTACCTGGTCCGGCGTAGGTGTGATAGAGGCATCAGCTGCAATCTCTGGAACTTGTGGTAAGGACACAGGGTGCAGGATTGAATCTATCGCCTGAGGAGAATCTGCTGATGAAGTAACTCCTGACTGGGAATCTGGTGGTGTGTATACAGTCTAAAGATAAATCCATAAAGGAGAGGAAGAACAGTTCAATTATTTCTCCTTAAAAAATTCTGCCCTGTATATTATATGCTGTTTTTCTTACCTACAATTATAGTGTTTTCTTTTTATCTAAGTAATGAGCTGGTCAAAATGTTTCCCATTCTCCTTAATGTTTCTTTATGGTTTCCAAAGCAGGCACTGCAGCCTGGTTCTTTTCATTTCTCTGCATGAGCAGCAACCAGCAGGTAGGATGAAATATGTGGCTTTTCAAAACAAAGCAGATTTTCAACTAGACTGTGTGCTTTGGGGGAAATGTCCAAACTAGTTTGTGTTCAGAACTCTCAACTATGTCTTTCAGTGGTTATGAAGCGGTTTCTTGAATTCTGTATGGTTCTTAGACTTTGATTATGATGGCAATAAATTACTCTAAATAAATAAATAAACCATGTGATCTGGTTACTTTCACTACACTTGATATATCTTGCCATGTAGTTCTTTCATTTTTTTTTCATAACATGTATCAGTTTGGAAAGGGAAAAATTGTAACAGATCAACAGCACTATTTCTAAATACCTTCAAGACATATTTCTTCTAATATTATTCATATAACATTTCACTCTAATATTTGTAATGCAAATGAAGAATTATTGTGAATTAAACATTTACCCTCTGTGGTGTATGGATGGGCGATAGCATATCTAGATCTGTCATGGGAAACTCCAGGCCTTTTCTCCTCAGGTCCTCATAAACAGTTACAACCCCAGTCAGGTCCGGTGTACTACGAAAGGCATCAGCCCAGGACTAGATAGGCAGGAAAACAATTACAATTTTTTATTTTTAAACTCCTGTGTGATTTTTTTTAATAAGCAGGAACATTATGATTCTATTAAGCATGCAAGAAAAGCAGACTGTGTTAAAAGGAAAGAGCAATTACCAGATATGAACATTCCGTAGTACCCTGGACATTTCAGCTTTTTAAAGTTTTTTTGCTGCATGGGTGTCTAAATGCTGGAATGATCTGATGAATACTAGATATATAGTCACACTAGCAGTATATAGCTGTTAGAAAACCTGATTTTGACTTTTTAAAAATGTTTGCCACCCATTTTATCACAGTGTTAAGTTTCTAGTCCTTGTGACTATAAGCTTGTAACTGCTCCAGCTGAGATCTAAAAAAAACAGTAGATTTCATGAGTTAAAAAGATAGCTTTTGCCTGTTGCCTGTGTTTTGCCTCTTTCCATGAACAGTAACATAATTATTTATACAAAATAAGGTCTTAAATTATTTATAATATTTATTTTATACAAGATAAGTTCTGATATTATATAAACTGAATACGTCTACAATGTACATAAATGTTTCAGATTTCAGTTATCCTCGGGAAACCAAGTATGGGTAGAAAGTTTACTTCTATTTAATAAGCATAGATTACATACTGCCATGAAAATAATCTGGGTTTTTGGTTTAGGCAAAGTAATTGTGGGTCTGTTATCATTCATGGAGACCCTCTGAAAGACAGACAGATTGATAGGGATGCACTTACTTGGATGATGGTCAACACCTTATCATGTACAATAGCTGGAGGATTGTTTTTGGGAAGGATAGTTCGTACTAATACACCTTCTACAAAATCCTGGCTAGCAACAAGTATGTGAAAACGATGACCACAGTTTTTGACACATGTCTCAAGGACCTGCAAAGTCAAAGAAGATGCATTAGAAATTACTTCTGGTCTACTTGCTTCTTGCTTTTTCATTTCCTGATCACACTACAGCTAGTGTTTTAGAAATACCTATATATCACCAATCCCAAGTGATTCAGTTCCTTGATTGCAAAAACAAGATAAGTTCTGATATTATGTAAATTGAATTGAATTGGTATCCACAGGCAAATAGAAAGGAATGGTTGTTTCACACAGACCAATAAAATTATTCTTTCTCTGTCAAGTATATTTGAACTGTCTTTCAATTAATTCAGACAATCTTCACAATATACTTTTTTAAAAAAAAAAACAAACTGTGCTTCCTATTACTTACATGAAAACTTAGTATTCCAGGTTAGAGATCACTTCTCTTTTCCATGTATATCCTTGAGATAAGTCAATTACCACGACAGCTTTCTCCCTTGCTAGCACCCTCCTAATGGAGCAGAACTGCCTCTCACTCAGTTTGTCAATAAAGCTTAACTGGAAAGCTATCCCCACTGACAGATGGTAAAAAGCAAAGGTGAAAGAGAAGGTGAAGGGATATATAGTGGAAGTAACTCTACACACCCCTGTTAAAATACCAAATTTTTTAGGTGTAAAAAAATCAAGATAGAACATAGAATAATAAGAGTTGGAAGGGACCTTAGTTCAACCCCTTGCTCAAGCAGGAGACCCTATACCATTTCAGACAGCGATGGAGCACTACAACTTCTGAAGACAAGCTATTCCCTTGGCTGATTGCTCTCACCATTAGGAATTTTCTCCTTAGTTCTAGGTTGCTTCTCTCCTTGGTTAGATTCCATCCATTGTTTCTTGTCTTGCCTTTTGATACTTTGGAAAATAGTTTGATCCCCTTGTGTCTATAGGAGCCCCTCAAATATTGGAAAATCACTTCAGAATTTTTTCCCACTTTTAATATAACATATAAACTATGCAATCCAACTGAAATCTTTTATGCATAAACATAACAATAAAAAACTAGAATAACGTGGCTGCATAAGTATGCACACCCTCTTTTTAATCAGCCACATTCAAAATGATGGTACACACCTGCCATCAATTTAAGTGACTCTGATCAAGTTCAGCTATTTTAGTAGGATTTTTCTGACATTTACTCAGTTGCCTTTTACAGCAAAAGCCTGCAAAGGGCTTACAAAGCTTCAAAGGGATCTCATTGTTGGAAGATATCAGTCAGGAGAAAAGTACAAATTTTTTTCCAAGGCATTGGATATACCATGGAACACAGTGAAGACAGTTATCAATAAGTGGAGAAAATATGACAATGACATCTATAGATATCCCTCCATAATTGAGGAAAAAACAAGACAAAAAGTGGTCCAAGAGGCTGCCAAGAGGCCTACAGCAACATTAAAGTAGCTGCAGGAATTTTGAGCAAGTGCTGAGGGTGTGCTACATTTTACAACAATCTCCCAATTCATCATTTGTCTCGGCTGTGGAGTAGATGGCAAAAGGGAGACTTTTCTCATGAAAAAAAAACATCCAAGCCCAGCTACATTTTGCAAAAACCTATAGCAAGTCTGACAAAAGTATGTGGAAAAATATGTTATGGTCTGATAAAACCAAGTTGAAGATTTTGGCCATAATTTCAAAAAGCATATTTGGCGCAAAAACGATACTGTGCATCACCAAAAGTACATCATACCACAGTGAAGCATGGGTATGTCAGCATTATGCTTTGGGACTGCTTTTCTTAGCTGGAACTAGGGCTTTAGTCAAGGTGGAGGGAATTACGAACAGTTCCAAACATCAATCAATTTTGGCATAAAGCCTTTTGGCCTCTGCTAAAATTCTAAAGCTGAACAGGAATTTTACCTTTCATCACAAGGACCCAAAGCATACTTCCAAGTCAACAAAAGAATGGTTTTACCAGAAGATCAAAGTTTTGGAATGATCCAGCCAGAGCCCAGATCTGAATTCAATTGAAAATCTGTGGAGTGACCTGAAAGGGGTGGTGGTGCATAGGAGATAACCTTGCAATCTGACAGTTTGGAGTGCTTTTGCAAGGAAGAGCAGACAAAGATTCCCAAGGCACGATGTGATATGTTGATAAGCAGCTCTTGCAAAAAACTGAATGCCATCATAAAATCAAAAGGTGCTTCAACAAAGTATTAGTTTAAGGGTGTGCATACTTATGCAGCTACATTATTCTGGTTTCTTACTGTTATTTTCATCCTAAAAGATTTCTGTTTGTTTTTCAATTGAATTGTATAGCTTATACTTATATGAAAAGTGGAAAAAACTTTGAAGTGATTTATCTTGATCTGTTTTTTTTTTTTTACATCTCAAAAACATGGCATTTTAATAGGATGTGTAGACCTTCTATTCTACCATGACTGAAAAATCTGCATCATACTCACTGTCAAAGCCAGCATCACTTCGTGGAAATTCTTATTCCCGACAATCCTTTTCTTTATGGCTCGAAAAGCATCTTTGGGCCTAACAATAGCAAATGTCACATTATAAAAGCACTAACATTGAAAAAGAAATATATACTTGTAATTTGCCAGACAATAAGGGTCAGAATCAGGTTTGTTCTTCTTCAATTATACCCTGGAATCACCCAACCAAAGCACAAAAAGAGCAACCTCCTCTTCATAATACAGTAAATGATTTTCTTTCTCCCCCAACGCACATTTTATTCACATAAATTAAAAGAACCAAGATTCCTAAATGTAACAAAAATGCCTGAAAATGAGGCACTAAATTGCAAAGGAAGATAATTTAAATTATTTAAAGAAAGAATTAACAATTAACATTAACAGATCTAAGGAAAAATACTTTAAGAAGAGAATTAAGAATAGTTTTAGTTTTTTCAGATGTCAGGAAAAGCGTGTAAGATTGATTTTACCCTCGTGCAAAGAATTACGACTATGATAATAGAAATTTTGACACTGACAACAAAAACAGTGTTTGAGCAGTACGCTCCTTTTTGAAAGTTGTCAGAAGACTCAGCATTGAGCTTTTATGTTTTGTATCAATGCTCCCTGTTACAAGTTTCACTTTTCTTGAGCTGGGTGTGTCTTTAAGAAACTCGGAAAAATGTGTAGGCTAATGCAAAACCATCAGTGAACGTATCCAGAAAATGACTATTGATTCTTTATTCAGCACTTGTTTCCTTACCCTTCTTCTGTCTCATTAATGATGTCACAGATTTCCATGTTAAGAGCCCAATCTTCATTCTGTAAGGAGCCATCAGTAGCTTTCTCTGTGGAAACAGAAAAAATACAACCTCTACTACTCAATTTACTAGGCTTATATACAGCTTCAGCCATTGCTGACTCTGAGAGGTTATATATCAAATACACATAAACTTTGAAATAACCACTGCCAAAACACATAAACTTGATTTTAAAAAAATAGTATAAGATCATTACAACTGGTAACAACATTTACAGTGCACCAGGGGAATAAATACAATTAAATTAAATGAATACATTCTCAAATGAATACATATCTACTCCTAAGATCAGCTGATAGAACTAGATTTTGATAGATTTCCTGAATCTTAGCAAGATTGGGGCCAGTCAGAGTTTAGGAAAAATATTATTTCAGAGAAGGGGAGGAGCAGTAGAGAAAGAAATTTCACTTAGAAGAGCAGATTAAAAATGCCACCTATTTTTCCTGGATGAATTTCTCTAATAAAGTGATAATAACATTCTAGCACCAGTAATCTAGCAAACTGAAATCCTTAGAAGGTGCCTGGGCTTTTTGAGATTTCCAAAGTGTGGTTCAGTTTTTAAAACAATGAATACTATTAACTGAAAGCTGTGAAACTAATTATGTTAAAATATATTAGATATTATAAGAGTGAGTTCAGTATTGGAGATCTTTCTCCTGCCTGCTTCCGAGCAAATCACTAACAGTCTGGTCCCAGGTCTCTTGAAGTCTAAAGGCCCTGAAGCCTACTTTTTAACTGATTGGATAAGGTAGTAAAACAATACTTATAAGAAGCCACTGTTAGAAATTATTAGGATGTTGAAGCTAAGTGTCACAAACATGTTGTTACAAAGCAGCTCTCTCCCTCTGTCATTACTCAGATGATTTAATTTATCAGATTTAGGTGCCACATGATTTCACAATACACGTAGTAGTGGGATTAGTACCTAGGTCCTAGATACATAGTGCTGCATAAAGGTTATAAACTGAAATTGAATTCCAATCCTCTGAAATTTCATAGTTCAGGAAATGAGTAGGTCTCTGATTCTAGATCAGGGGTGTCAAACTGCCAGCCTGCGGGCCGGATGTGTCATGCCGAAACCACACCCACCTCATTGCCGGCAATGGAAAAAAAGTCATGATACATCGTGACATGTCACGTGACATTGCAAGTTTGACACCCCTGTTCTAGATCATCTTTTCTCACTGGGATTCTTCCAAGAAAACCCTAGGATTCCGTGACAGGTTGGTAAGGGTTCCATGAAAGTTTGATAAAAAAAAATGTTTTTTAACTTCATGTACCAAACAACACTAACTGTAGGTTTGATGTGCAAACCCTGAAGATAAATCGGCTGATGGAACTATATTTTCTTTGAAAAAATAAAGAGAATGGCATATTTGTGCTCCTGTTGATCACTGTCAGCAGTATAAGGTAGTCCAGGCGATACCATGTGTACCTAAAGTTATTTTTTTTATTAAGACTATCTTAAGATCGATATCAAGACAGAAACTGGCAAATCTGAATGTGCTTCTCCTCCTCCTTTTTTCCTATTAATGTGACATCTGTCTGAGAGTTTTCTTAACCTTTCCCCATCATCTGGGCTTAAGTAATGTTTATCTCCTTGTTGTTCTAGTAATGGAGCTTTCCTCTGTTCATCAAGGTTGTTTTCTTTTTTATTTACTATATTTTTATTGAAGTTTAAAAGATCATCTTCTTTATTCATGCCCCCACATAGGTGCCAGGCGTGTAGCTGACCAAGTATGTCTGGTTGCAATACTTTCTGGACGGCCTGTCTCTAACGGTTTCTTAAATGCTAAACTCTAATCTAGATTACAGCATAGTGTTGTGTATTTGCCCTTGAAACACAAGAAAATTGCAGTTAGTTCAAGAAGTGACAATAAAGCTGTTATTAAACAATCTTCAGAGATTATATAACTCTCTATTGTTACTAGTTAGATTATAAGGCTTTAACAATGATGTTTCAGATCCTTAATTGTTTAAAATATTTGAGTCATGATGTCATTATGCAACTATTTTATTTATAGATGAGTTATAAAATTCTCAAACATGAGGAAAAAGGGCCAGATCTAGACAGTCAGTAAAGTTATGTAACAGAACTGATTGTTTCACTTCAAGTTATATATATTGGGTATTTTTTCTGGAAAAAATTACTCATTCAAAATTGTATTGAGTTACAAACTCATCAAGAATCCTTGCCAAGCCAGTATATCTTATTCTGTGTTCCTACATGCTTTATTGGAACAATAATATTGGCCAATTCTTAAAGACCTCTGTAAGCATAACATTGAAAATTGGTAATCACTGTATATTAAATTTACTATGTCAACTAGGTATTGCCATCTGTTGAAAGCTTTAATATTCAATTTTGATATAAAATATAAAAAACAGACAACTTACTTCACTTTCAGTACTTAGGAGAATACATCTTATATTTAAAAAATGTTTTTCCACTGTTAGCAATTACTGTTCTTTCTGAAGAGAGAATTGTCACTATAGCTTCTGGAAACAACCTCTTCCATCCAAGCCACTGCCACCAAAATGGGTTTTCTCAGTTACCCCTACCTGTTACTAACTAAAGATACAAGTGCCAATAGTTGCTGAGTTCATATTTGGATACATTTTGAAAACAACAATTTATAGAATCATAGGGTTGGAAGGGACATTGGAGTCCAACTCTGTGCCCAAGGCAGGAATCCTTATACCACCTTGGATAAATAGTTCTACAATATTTTCTTGAAAACCTCCACCCCCTATGTGGGTCTATGGAGCACCCATAACTCAGGAACCAAGCTTGTTTGCTCTCCAAATCTGAGAAATACAGAACATGAGCTATAACAAGGCAGATTTGTCCATGGCAAACTGTTATTATCTTAGTAACTTCTTCCATTTCCTTATGACTGTGCATTATGCTGCAAATGAAAACCACTGGCCTGATTATATCTCATTCTACAGTTCTTATGTATGGCTGTGTTGAACATCTTTTTAGATTGAGATTTCATAAAAGAGCCTCATCCTATCAAATACAACCTTTTTTTCCTCTCATATATCAATGAAGTAGATTTTATAATATTTCATGTTTTGCATTTGAAGTGGGGAAAAACAAGAAAAATTGTTTTATTAAAACAAAAGTTTTTATTAAGCTTTTCTAAAACACAAGGCCCTCAATAGTTATGTGAATGATATAGATGCTAAATTCAGCTTCGGAAGCTATAATTAGAACCATCAACACCTCGGAAGTCTAACTCAGCCACACAACTTCTATATGGAATAAAAAAAGCAGTTTAAATCTCACCTGAAAAATACAAACAATTCTAGTTGGAAGACCAGAAAACTAAATGTGCCAGCAAATTTAATATTCCAAACTAGTGTAGTGAAGCTGTCTGAGAGTGTTTGCAGGAGCTTGGTTGGGAAGGAAGAGATTGGGACAGCTGTTGCTGGCTTTGGGGGTGGCCGGGGTGGCTGGAGGAGAAGATAGAAAAGAGAAAGGGAGGAGAGGTCGTCAGGTGAAGGACTGGAAGTTTTATTTGTTTTCTTCGTAATGAGGATATTTTAAACAGAGGCTAGAGGGGGAGAGAGAGTGGAGTTTTTTTGCTTCCTTCATGAGGAGGATATCTCAAAAGAAGGCAAGAGAGAGATTGTGTGAAGAGGAGTTGGCAGAGACTCCTAGCCTCAGATTTTAACAATAAAGATAAAGGAGGGGGGAGGGTTTTGACGCTGAAACCTGACTGAAGGAGAAGTAATAGAAAGAGAGGAGAGACTGGAGGTGGCTATTGCTGCTGTGGAGCCTGGAAACAATTTGGACTGTGACTATCACTGTTACTACAGGTTTTAAGACATTGTGGGGGAGTTGCCGGGGGGGGGGGGACAAGCTACTGCTACAGCACATTGACTGTTGTTGTTTCTACTATCGTCTGGAGCCGGGGTTTTCCTTCATCCTACTTGACTCTGAACGATCACTGAGAATCTTTTATTCCTGCTGCTATACCGGCCTTGGGCTATTGGATATCATCATAGCATTGACTATCGTGACTGGTTATTTTCGTTCCTGGAAGCTCCTCCTTGACAAGAGCCTGCTACCTACTAATTCTGCATGAGCTCTGGCTGGAAGATACATCTTATCGACTCCTAGAGAACACTACTGCAGGGCTTAACAAAGGGGCTGGGCCTGGGAGGGCCTGGGTTTTTGCAGCCTCTGAGGAGGTAACGCTACACTAGTAATATATGTATTGCCTGACAGGCAAACTCAGCAAGATATATCTTAGCCTGCTGCCAGGGTGTGGAGATTTGGCAATTAATGACACATCACTAATATGTTAAGAATTACTGGTTATGAAGGTTTTGGATTCCAAGGGCTCCGATATCATCAGAAACTATTATTTGTATCCACTAAAGACAGAAGAGGATTTATCAGTTAATGCCATTAACATCTATTACAGTCTAAGCAAATTTCAATTTGCTTCAAATTTCAATTTGTTTCTTAAATTACATTTCAAACACATAAGTTGAATAAAATGAAGCAAAGTATGAAAATCAGTGGAACAGAATTTTACCTTATTTGGTTTCAGTTGATTTTAATGTCTCTAATCTCTAAGTCTAGATTTTTCTCAGCATTATGAACAGCATATACATGCATGTGAATTTAGGCAAAGATCTTATTTAGGAGTTTAACTTCAGATTTAAATCAGAAACATATTTTAGTAAGTCACATGGGATTTTTGTGAATGAAACAGATTGTGATGCCACAAGGAAAAGATACTATATACTTGTAGAATAGTAAGATGACTCTTGTGTGGTATGCTTTTTTCTTACAAAAATATATATGATTCACAATAGGTTCACAAATATTAATTTTGTAAATTCTTAAGCCAGCAACAGAGAACATGTAACTCTACAAACGTTTGAGAACTACAGTTCCCAGAACCCCCTGCTTGTATGACCGAAGATGAGCAATGCTTCAAAATGCGAATCAGCAACAACAGTAAGGCCACACAGGCTCCTCGTCAGTCACTTAAATGATAGATTTTTTTCTCTCCTTAGGTCACCATGACTAGACTTTGTTTAGTGCTCCAAACAGCCAACCATTTTTCATTTTGTCCCTCACTCAACGCCATCCCTATGGGACAGACTGCACCTAGAAGAGATGGAATTTGTACTTCATGTGGGCGGTTTTAAGCCTCCGCCCATTCAGTTTGCCAATTCGTGCTCTTGCGACAACCTCGAAAGCAACTGAAGGGCAGACTTCGAAGATCTTTTTAAAATTATTTCAACTGTTTGTAGGCACCGCACTCTAAAAGAGCGATTACAGCGAACAGCCTTCTAGGGGGCGTGATGTTCACATCAGAGGCGCGTCCCCTTTAAATAAGCAAACTTTATCCCTTCTTCGAGACCCCCCCCCTCTACTATTACCGCGACAGGATTGGCCCACAAGGCCTACTCTAAGAACCCGCCTCTTCGATGATACCCCATTGATCAGTACAAAATGTCCGTCAGAAGAGTGTCCTATCCCCATCGACCAGGAAAAAAAAAAATCTAAACCCCGCCTCCGTGGTTTATTAGCTCCGCCTCTCTCGCGGTAGACACTGACTTGAGGTAAAATCCGGAGTTTAAAACTACGGTCACGCGAGCAGTCGAGCTCGGGAGATACACGGGGGACAGAGGAAGCCTAACGCAAGAATCGGGCTGCAACTTACCAATGCGCTGTCCGACCGGAGAGCTAAAAGGATTGCCGAGAAGAAACTCCATCACCACCTAGACAACCGCCACGGCTTAGCAGGGATCAGCTGACAGGGCCGCGAGTTGATCACGTGACCAGCCTGAGCTGCAGGGGGCGTGCTTCGTTCTTTGCTCTTGCGACACTCCCCGTGGCCTAAGCGCCTCCTTTGCCAGCGGAGTTTAACACGGAAATTTGATAGACGAAGCGGTTTGGCGGAATATAGGCACAGCCGGCTCTTAAGCATCTTCGCCGGCAATAAGATGTTCTAACTTTGGGGGAGACATTTCCTTGCAAGCACGCTCGGGAGTGTAGACTTTTACAAGGCTCTTACTGTAGAGAAGGGTTTGTTACCTGACGACAGCATGCGGCGACGATTGGATGATGCCATAATAGGTCGCAAATAGGACCCAAGCAGCTCGCAGTCATCGTAGTATTGGTAGCTTCCCCGGAGGGCCTGCTCGGGAAAAAGCAGCTTGAACAGACTCCATTTCGCTCTGCCACAATCAAGCCGCATTAAGCTAAACCTGTCTGTAAAAAGGCACGCTGTTGCCACTAGGGCAGAGCTGAGGTATCTTCCTTCCTGATGTCTTTCAGTTCTTTTTCAGTAGCAACGTTTACATAATTATAGATGCCAAAGTTGTCAGATTGTTTTTCCCATCCAAATCCATATGTTACAAGCATTTAATTGTATGTAGAAAGCTACAAATATCAACGCGATGCAGGAAAGAAACACTGTTGAGTAGATTCGGTAAAGCATTGAGAAAATTTTTGGAGTCTCATCCTGATTCAAATGAATTTAAATTATAAATTTAAAAAGTACATCTGCAACCTCAAACCATAAATGCAAAGCTATTACACTACTAGAATACTGGAAAGTCACATGTTTCAATTTTCATCAGAAAAGTTATATGTACAGTATACATATGCAAAATACACCCAATTGAAAAAATATTTTTAAATCTTAACACAGCTATATTGGATTACTGATGATTTCAAGGTATTTTGCATCATGAGTATAGTATTAGTATTTCAGTATTTTATAGATGTCATTTAATGTGGAAATTGAAGTAACCACCTCAAAAAAAACAAAGCATCTTCCTTTCTTTGCTAATAACTTTAATAGAAACAATTTGCTTAATTTGCTGATGCATATGGGGACAAAGTTCTCCATTTTAAAACAAGCTTGTGTCAAAAACAATGTAAGAATGTTTCTACATGTTGATCTGTTACAGGCTCAAGTTCTCATGTTTCAAGTAAATTCAGTACAGGTAGTCCTCAATTTACCACCACAATTGAGCCCAACATTTCTGTTGTTAAGTGACACATTTGTTAAGTGAATTTTGTCCCATTTTATGACCTTTCTTGCCACAGTTAAGTGAATCACTTCAGTTATCAATTAGTAATACAGTTGTTAAGTGAATCTGACTTCCCTGTTGATTTTGCTTATCAAGAGGTTGCAAAAGATGATTATATGATCTTGGAACACAGCAATGGTTATAAGTATGAACCAATTGCCAAGTATCTGAATTTTGATTACATGATCATGGGGATGCTTTGTTAGTATGAAATTATGGTCATACGTCACTTTTTTCAATGCCATTGTAAGTTTGAACAGTCACTAAACGAACTGTTGTAAGTTGAGGATTACCTATAATGTGCTTTTTCACTTCAGGACCCAGACTGTTATGAATGCCAGCAGACTGACCCACAAACTTCACATGAAAATTATGACAAACTCAGTTACAACTGAAGAGTTAAATAACTGTTCCTGGAAGACACACTGACTGAATTTCAAATAATAACCTTGGAGCAAAATTAAAAAATGGCATAGAGCATAGAGTTCTACAGAAGGACATATATGGGTGATTATCATACAAGGATAGTGTCATACTGATGGCAGAGGGAGAGAAAATTTTCTGATACTGAAAAACCTGTACATGAATTAATGGGAGGAAAGAGAAATGAATCAGAATAAAATTTCCAAGTATAAAAATGTTTATGTACAATACCAAGAAGGTTGAATGCAGGAACTAACAAATACATAAAAAACAAAAGCAATTATGTTCAAAACCTTTCACTATCAAATATGACAAGATATGTATTATACAAATGTGTACAAATTTTAAATAAAGGTACATCAAGTACATTTAAAACATCAAGTCTACCATATTGCAAATGGTAAATGTGAAGCAGATCTTCTGTTTAATCCAAGATGCTGAAAACTTAAAACTACATATTGTCTGTTTATGTATTACAGCCTTTAATTGACAAGATTATTTGAGCCACTGGAAGAAGGCAATTATTTTTGACTCTTCTGTGCTCACTTTTTGTGTTCTGATTTTTTTTCTAGTTTTTGTGATGTATCTGTTGGTGGGGTAGCACAGGACAGGAGACATACGGTAAGTAAAAATTGCTTTTCATTTGTAGGAGAGCTGTGTTAGCCTACAGCCCCAGATGTTTGATAGCACCAACTAACAAATTGTATTAAATAGAGTAAGCTTTTGCAAGATGTAGCTCATTTGGTCAGATGCGAGATATCTGATTATGCCTTTTAATTACATTTCTTAGTTGGAAAAGGTGCTACCAAATTCCTAATTTTAAAGACTTTCCACTCAATGCTGAAAACTCAAAGAACTTTCCAAAGCAGAGATATAGTGTGATGATTCTGCTAAATGTCCAGCTCTAAAGACTGATATTCTTCATTGCTTATGTATTGCTTGTATATTTGCACATCTCTGAGTGAGTGACTCACAGGATGATTCTTAAAAGTAGTTTGCCATTGCTTGTTTCCTAGGGCTGAGAGAAAAATGATTGGCCTAAGGTCATCAGATGGCTTCCATGTTTTCCTGGCTTCCAGCCTGATGCTTAATAACTGTATCAATTGGTTCTTATATTGCTTGTAGCACAGTTCAAATAACACAAAATCTGAATAAGTTTTTAAAGCCTCAAGTCATTAGCTCTTAACACACAGTACTTTAATCTTCAGGTTTAACTAGGGGATAGGAATGGGGACGGGCACTTCATTATTTAGAGAAAGTTTAAGATGAAATGATGGAAAACCAGTCAATTTAATACCCTACCAATTAGAAAAATATCCACTCTAAGAGCCTAGGAAAGAGATATATATTTAATCTTGGATTCAAAATTATTTTATTTCCTGTTTTAAGATTTATAAATCCTATGTGATAAGGTTACATGACATAGCATTTCAACATTTGTTTTATTCATTTTTTTAACCACACTGCAAGGATACAGCGATTCACAACCACAGTTGGGACCAGAACTTCTGTCCCTAAACAGTGTGAAGGTTAAGTGAGTCATCATGTGACTGCACCTAATTTTATGACCTTTTTGCTGTGGTCCTTAAATGAATCTGGTTTCCCCCCCATTGACTTTACTTGTGCGAAGTCAGATGGGCAGGTCACAAATGGCGATCACATTACCCTGGGAAGTCGCAATCATAAATATATGCAGGTCACATGATCATGAGAACTCTGCAATGGTCTTAAGTGTGAGGACTGGCCATATGTCACTTTTTTCACCCTGTTGTAATTCTGAACATTTGCTAAATGAATGGCTGTAAGTTGTGGATTATCTGTATTGCTATTTTTATTTGAATACTTTTTAAAAAATTCAAAATCTCCTTTGAATCAATACTTGTTATTACATGAAGTTCAATTCTGGCAAGGCTGTATAGATCATAAAACCAATACAGATAGTCCTTACAACTATTTGTTTAATGACCATTTCAAGTTACAACCGCACTGAAAGAAGTGACTTGTGACCATTTTTCACACTAATGACCGTTGCAGCAGCATCATGGTCATGTGATCAAAATTCAAATGCTTGACAACTGGCTCATATTTATGACTGTTGCAGGATCCCAGGTTATGTGATCACCTTTTGTAACCTTCTGACAAGCAAAGTCAATGGGGAAGTTACATTCATTTAATAACCGCATTACTAACTTAACAGTTACAGTGATTTACTTTACAACTGTGGCAAGAAAGGTCATAAAATGGGGCAAAACTGACTTAACAACTGTCTCAGCAACATAAATTTTGGGCTCAGTTGTGGCCATAGGTTGAGAACTATCTGTACATGTTTTCTGAACAATAGTAAGAGAAGGAGTTTTTTGTATTCTAATTAGAACTATATACAAAAATACACAAAAATGTAAACCCCTATATTAAGAATGCCATACTTAATCCTATGAAAATGCTTTCCTAGAGAAGAACAGATTCAGAACACTAAAGCCTGGATTTCTCTTCTTCTTATTATTAAATCCTTCAATATCACCTCTCTAACTGCCTCTACATGAATATTAGCACCATAAGAGAAAAAAGTCAATTTGCTGGTAGTAAGAATTGGAATTTGCGTAATTGGGGGAATGCTCTTGCCTTCTATGACAGTATTTTTAGCTGCTGTTTCAGAAGTCACTATCTAAATGTGAAGAATTTGGAGCTTGGAAATGTAGGCTAAGGATCTTTTCTCTCATAATCTGAAGATTGTGTGAAATATTACAATTCTATACTATAATTACTAGTGCTATACATGTTTTGAAAATTATTTGGAAGAATTGCTTCAAAACTTCAATGAACATGAATTAGCACCTCACTGCTACTTATTAAAACAAGTGTGTGTGGAGAAAAATACAGCTGCTTTAAGCAGTCACATTAAAGAAATAACTGTTTTAATGATTTGATTTCATTCACTACCATATTTGTATGTAGCCCTGTCAATCAATGAACGCAACATTTAATAAGAAGTCCTAATGTCAGAACAATTCTTTAGAGATAGGACAATTTTTCCCATCATTACTTAGAACAAGATGTCCATTATTTTTTTTCCATTCCATTGGTTTCCACTTAGAGAAGTACTATTTTATAGCAATAGCAATAACATTTAGGCTTATATACCGCCCAATAGCACTTTACAGCACTCTCTGGATGGTTTACAATGTTGAAGCATTAGTTGCATATTGCCCCAACAATCTGGGTCCTCATTTTACTTTCCTCGGGAGGATGGAAGGCTGAGTCAACCTTGAGCTCTGTCAAGATCAAACTCCAGGTTGTGTACAGTTCGCCTGCAATACTGCACTTTAACCACTGCATCATCAGGGCTCTGTTTTATACTAAAATATTAGTGGTACTCGGTCCATGGCACTTATTTGCCCCAAACTTACTTGACATTTCTAATTAAAATAATTCAATATATTTTTCTTTTATATTAAGGCTAATATATAAAAAAATTACTAAACTCTAGTTATGTAGAAACACAGAGACTTAAGAAAACATCTTCCAATTCTTGCAAATTAAGTTCAGAACTTTTCATAAAATCAAGTTAAACAGTTATTGACAAAAAAGTTAAAATTCTGTAGGTTGAGACTTGAAGAACACAATATATATGTATACACACCAGTAGCATGGCAGTAGATTACTTTCCACATTCCCTTTTTTTTGTCAAAGACCGGGCATTATGTAGGCAATATTATCTAATGTGTTTGACTGAAAAGACAGAAACATTAAATTAATTCAGTATGTATGTTACAAAGTGAAATGCTTTTTGCTTGAATAGAATAAGGAAAACCCCATCAAAAGTAACTTGTGGTTTCCCAGCCCCACTTCTGCATTGCCCAAATTGACAACAATCTTCATTTTTTGGTTCAGTATCATTTTTCCTATTTGTTTACTTTGTTTTAAAACAACAGTGGCTGAAATAGATGTGACAATTTCCTATTTCACATAATACAATTTTGTTTTAAGTCTCCCTTCTCACATAAGCATACAGAAAATGCTTAAAATGTGAGTCCTGGCCACAGTTGATCATGTCATGGTATCTACCATATTTTGCTTATGACCACAATTGTACTGCTCATCCCTGTTGTGAAGATACCAAAGGCTGCATCTCTTGGGAAATATTTTTCTCTGACCTGGATTATATAATTGTTATAAAGCTAATAAAGATGTTAGAAGGGTTTTTTTTTGCTCCCTTTCATATAGTTAGGTATAAACTTGTATCTAAATCTTATTAAATTCATTGGGACTTATGTTAGAAGTAATTAAATTAAGTAACAGATTCAAATGAATATTTTATCTCCATTTTATGCTCCATTTCCAAAAATGGAGACCATTTCCTCTCCACCTTGGATTTATAGGGATCAGCTGAGGCATTTGTACTGTTAAAATGGAACTCTTCAGCTCTCCTTCAGAGCCAAGGAATGGGAAAGCAAGTTGGAATGTATTTATTAGCTGTGATAACTCTCCAAACCCCATGCAATTAAGAGAGAGCTGCTATTTCAATTACCAGTTAGGAAAAAGGATGGAGCTACTTGCCCTTTTCAAGCCAGGATTAAAAACTCACTTTTTGATAATAGGATTAAATGAATGTTCAGGCTTTAAGTCTCTTTCCCCCACTTACAATACATGTATTATTGTATTTCAGGATGTGGTAAGATAGAGATGTTAACATAAAAGAAACTCTATTTATGAAAACTTCCCAAGGAGTGTATTACCTTCTATAGCTAGTCCTCGATTAACAGTGGTTAAGAGAGTCTGGAATTTACACTGCTAATCGGTGTAGTCATAAAGTGTGATGTCACATGTTTTGCTTATTGACTGCAATCCTGGTTGTCCCCATTGCCATTATTAAGCAAATTGTCATGTGAGGACCACCCCGATCTAAGCCATTCTAGACTTGGTCCTTCCCAGCTTTGGTAAGGTAAAGGACTGCCTCCTTTTGAATAATCCTCACCTGCCTATCCCTCCCACTGTCTCTGCCCTTTTGGCTGCCTACCTACCTCCTACCACCCAGTATCCCCTTCACCTAGCTATCCACTGCCACTGCATCTGCAGCACTGAATGCAACTATTGTACTGGATGGGGTCTCTGTTTGTGCCCTGCATAACTAAATTTTAAAACATAATAAGACAGCTTGGTAATTAAGGGTAACTTACCAAAACATGTTTGGGGCAGCCATTTAGTTCAGGTAACTGGGATGTGAGGCAAGTCAATGGGCCCAGAGCACAAATAATTGAATCCAGGAGTACTGATAAACTTCCTGATACAGCTACCATTCCCTGGGAGGCCAAAAAGGAATGAGAAAAGTTGTTAATCTAATATACTCAGTATCAATGTATCCTTCCTATTTTAAGTCCATCATAATTTTCTCAAATTCAGCAGCCCTATTCTGCTCTGTGAAAGAGCTTTTACAGAGGAATCACACACAGAGAAATGAATGAACATGAATTCTACTGAAAGCAAGAAAGGCTACATTCTGTACCACACATGTATAAGATAAGCAAACACAAAATGTAGCACTTCATAAAATACACAAGCAAAGTAAATTCTGAACCCAAATATGGTGTGCAATTAGCAAATTAAGTGCGCTGTAGTTCAGCAGGCTAATATATTTAAAATGGAGAGCCTCCACACTTCCTCTCTTTTTAGGCAGCTTCTTAGTAGTCTATTCTACAGGGCAGTTCATAATACCGTAATTAGGTTAGAATATCATAGTGGATCAGAAGTCCCATCTTCATCCAGCATTTTGTTTCTTAAAACAACAGTTGCTTCTGAGATGCTCTTAGCAGGAAGTGGAGAAATAGCTTATTTCCAATATTTGCCCTACCAATTTGATATTTGGATATTGCTTTCCATCTCCAAGGTTAAGAGTTTTTGATATAATCTGTCCATTTTTATTTGTATCTACTGCCATATTCTGTGAACCTGTGAATGCTAGAGTTTAATCAGGTGCTGTATGATAAAATATTTTCTTTGATCTGTTCTAATTCATCTTTCAATTGCCTTTACCAGATAAATTCAGATCTTTGGATGAGGTGATGAGATTTATTCCTTCTTTGTTTTCTTCTTTTTAAAGTAATTTCAGTTTTTAAACAATCAGTGGCACCTCTGAATAATGTAGTGCAGGTTAGAAACTTCATGATTTACAAGAAGCAGAAATAGTGATATATCAATTGCATTCCAATTATGCTAAATTTTGTAGATTACAGTACAATCTTCTACAACATAGCATACTATAGATTTTTGCTGCATTGCAGTTGCCATTAACCTTAACTACACACTACAAGAGATGGGACTTGAATTTTCAGCTCCAACTTTTGTAGGTGAGTTAGATTTATTTCAATAATTGTTTATTTTTTACTAGACAGGGGTGTCCTTTATCGCCATTGTTGTTTGTTTTAACATTGGAAATATTATTGATCAAAATTCGAGAGTCTCAGGAAATTAAAGGAATATATGTTAATAAAAAAGAATATAAGTTGAGAGCTTTTGCGGATGACTTGGTTGTTACTTTGTCGCAACCTGATTATTCTGTAGTAAACTTATTACAGTTGATTCATCATTATGGTTTGGTTTCGGGTTTTAAGATTAACGTAAATAAGACTAAAATTTTACCTAAAAATATGTCGAGTCAGGAGAAGCAGATTTTGGTCAACTTGACGGGTTTTGAGATTGTTAATAAGGTAAAATATTTGGGGGTGATGCTGTCTGTTTCTAATGCAAAATTATTTAAAAATAATTATGAAAGGTTGTGGGTCAGGGTACAGAAGGACTTGAAGAATTGGGAAAAGTTGCAATTATCCCTCATGGGAAGAATTGCAGTGATAAAAATGAATATTCTACCCAAGTTTCTTTTTTTGTTTCAAATGTTACCAATTTTGAAAAATGAGATTAATTTAAATGAGTGGCAGAAGGGTCTCAACAAATTTATTTGGGCAGGGAAAAAACCAAGGGTTAAGTTTAAAATTATGCAAGACTTCCGTGAGAGGGGTGGACTTAAGGTACCAAATTTGAAATTATATTATGATGCGGTGGTTTTAACATTAATTAGTGATTGGGTAAATTTGACAAATTCTGAGATACTTTACTTAGAGGGATGGGATTTACTTTATGGGTGGCATGCCTATTTAATATTTAATAAAAAAATAGATTGGGCTTTTAAATCTCATATTTTAAGAATTTCTTTACTTAGGATTTGGAGAAAATATTATAAAAGTGATTTTAAAGTACCATTATGGGCTATACCTTGGCATGCGATAGAAGGAATAAAAAGAGGGGTTAAAATGGATATGGTGTCTTATAGACAGTTACTTAAATGGGATGGACAAAACTGGCAATTAAAATCACGGGAAGAGTTAGCACAAGAAAATTTTACTTATTCTTGGTTCCAATATAGGCAATTATTAGATAGATGGAAGATGGATTGTAAGGTGGGTTTTCTTAGAGAAGATGAAAACCTTATTAAGCAACTGAAGGATCAAAGACAAACCCACATTAAGAGAATTTATGGGGTTTTAGTCGAATTGGACTCAGAAACGGAACTAATTAAAGATTGTATGATTAGATGGGCGCAGAATTTTGGTGAGCCAGTTTCATTGGACACCTGGGAAACTATTTGGGTGAGAAATGTCAAATTTACTCAAGCACAGAACTTAAGGGAGAATTTTTATAAAATGTTTTATAGATGGCACCTTGATCCACAAAAAATGTCTTATATGTATCCTGACGTGCAACCCAAATGTTGGAGATGTGGTTATAAGGAGGCTTCTTATTATCATATTTGGTGGTCATGCAGAGAGATAAAAGCATTTTGGATTAAAATATGGTGGAATATCCAGAGAATTTTTAGAAGGAGGGTAAAATTTACTCCGCAATTATTTTTGTTAGGTATTGTTACAGATTGTGATACAAAGGAGGTTGTATTGATGTTAAACTTGATCACAGCCGCTAGGCTGTTAGTAGGACAATACTGGAAGAAGGAATCTTTGCCTACATTGCAGGAATGGTTTCTTAAAGTAGCTTATCTGGCAGAAATGGCAAAGATTTCGGCTTTCTTAAAGCAACAAACGCAAGAGAAGTTTTTTGCTGTTTGGGATAAATGGATAAAATTTATACAATTTAGATTGGGTATACAAAAATATTATATAGTTTTTTCATAAGTTTTATTTTCATATATATTATAGATAATTTTTTTATATATATAAATATAAAGTTTTTAATTTAATTTTTATTTTTATTTTTTAAGCCTATATTCTGCTCTGGGAAGCTCAGGGGGGGGGGGAAGGGAGGGTTTTTTTTTTTTGGGGGGGAGGGCTGGGGGATGGGGTTTTTTTTTTTATTTAATATATGTATTGTTTAGTTTTATTTTTCTGTATATGTTGCCTCTTGTTTTGTATTATTTTTCCTTTTTTGTAAAATTTATAAAACTTTCAATAAAAAAAAAAATAAATAAAAATAAAATAATTGTTTATTTTTTAAAATAAAAACTCATTACAAAGGGTAGACATCTGTAATAAAATCTTAGGATGCGAAAAACTAGAGCTGGGGATCACATGTGACCTAGGGATTATCCACTCATGATCTGACTGAAGAACAATATTGTCAGCCCTATTAGATAGACACTAGACCAAGAAATCAACTACATAGGAAGCATTATACTACTTTTATTAAGATTGGTCATAATAACAGAATCTTGCAAGTCTGATTGTGCTTCTTCTTTCTTATAAATCTGAATTAAGGAGGTGCCTGTCTGAACTGCTTCCAAATATCTGTCTATGGTAGACTTAAAATATGTTTCAACTTGCTATTGCCTGGTAACAGATCTTATGTGTCTTTTCTTTAGTTTCTATAAATATTAAAGAGGAATGAAACTACATGATAGCTCTTGTACCTACTTCAGTCTCCTGCAGCCTGTGGCCAATAAGACTTAGAGACTCTCCGAGCAATTGCAGATGGGCAGCTACATCAATGGGATCTGTCTCAGGAACTTTCACTGGTGAAGAGGATAATACCATCATGCTAGTTGGGGACTTTTTATGGGGTGAAGGCACGCTTGTTAGAGAAGCTGAAAACAGACAATAAAACAGTTTAAAAATAGTACCCTTATACAATATACAAAAAAGTTAAAATGGGAACATCTCATATATATGAACATTTCTCTAATTCATGCCTTTTGGAAAAAAGAAGAGCTGGAAAAGCTGCCCAGAGATCCAGAGAGCATAGAAGTTCAATAATTATTATCAAATTCCCTCACAACTCAAATAATTCATGTTTGCATTGGCTCTGTCCAAAAAAGCTTTTCTTAAATTTCTTTCCGTTATTTTGGATTTGAATTTTCACAATTTCCAGGTAGTTGTGGGGCTTGAAGCCTAACATACACGGACAACATCAGATTGGGAAAGACAGTTCTCCAATCACTGGTCCATCAAAGTTCCCCTCTTCATATTTGTGCCTATTTCACATTGTGAATATTTTGTACTGATTGTTCAATAATATTTTGTCCTACCTAGGTGATAAAAGCAAGATTAACACAAAGTTCAAGAAATATCTTTAATGATAGCCTGGATTAAAATACAGTAGAATCTTGACAATAGCAAGAGTAAATTCTCAAATTTGGCTATAATGAATTAATTTAAGTGGAGTCTCTTGGAAATATACTGTTCTCACATCTGGACTGTGCTGCCCCTTCTCGGATAACTCAACTCCTCAACACTGCTTTCCTACATCTCTTATTCCTTTCCATCTATTACTTTATTTCAAAAAGGCAGCTGATAATTATCTAAAAGTCAAATCAATTTAATACACAATTATCAAAAAATGAAACAAATTTACATTTTTTGGTTCCTACAGTGTTTTGGTATTTAATTCATTGTTCTAATCTATGCAGACTTATTCTAGATAGTCTGATTAATAGCAAACTAATAGCAATCTTGGCTTAAAGCAGCTTTTACAGTACTTCTCAGAGCTTCATATTTGAATTTTGAGGCCTGGGAGTAAACCAAAGCCCTAATATCTGCCAATTTCTCATCAGCTGTTAATGATAAAATTTTGTTTGGAATCTTGGAGCAGTTTGATGAAAGAGACAAATGTCCCAATATATTTAGTTACAATAATACAAATTACCTTGGGAGGAAAACATATGAATATAATGGAATGTGGAAGCTACCTTTCAATTTTGGGGAACCCTCTGATGACATTGCTTTCCTCTTCACTGTCGTTGCCTCTGCTTTATTCTGCTTATGTTGCAAATACTGAGCCTTCTGCTTCCAAACCTGCAAAGAATAAGGAAAGCAAAACTGACACGAAAAACTGCATTGTTTAAGCAATTGATTAGCAAAATATGCAGCCCACATAGTTAAAAGTACTTAGATCCCAAGTATTTCATAATTATTAAATATGGGGGGGACTGCTATTCATAAACTACTCTGGGGAGTAAATTAATGCAAGCACCATGGTGGCATCATTCCAGGCACAAGCCAACTCAGATTTTTTTTTAAATATCTTCTCAAATATTTACCATCTTATCTTTCTCTGGAAGCTGTTTCCAAACCTCTGCTAGCTTTTTGCTCAGCTCACCAAAATCTAGCAGGAAATCAGAGAAGGTGAACAGTTCAGAATAAAAGCAGATAGTTTCTAGTTTTAATGAGGAATCTGATTCATGAACATTTAGTTAACCACTGAATCAATTATGACACATTAACAAAACATGTAACGATAAATATTTTTCAATAACTAAAATATAAAGCTATCCATGTCAGATTTTATATTAAATGTACAAAGCAAAGGCATCCCATAATTAATAATTTTATTTATTTTGGCAGTACAAACTACCATAAGATTGCAAGCAGTTCTAAAAAAATTCTGAGTGAGAGGAACTGGTGCAATCTGGCTGCTAAAAGAACAAAATAAGAGATAGATATTTAATTATCCTGATTTATATTAGCCAATACCAGTCCACATTTAGCAAGTCGATCTGTAAAACAAATTGTGAATGCACTATTAATTTATTTAGATACTCAACAAAAATTAGTATGCTTGTTTGTCTTTTGATAGTGCAAATTTAATTACTAGCATAACTCATTATAGCTACAATGGCAGCCATTTTTATTTATGACATAATACAGTTATCAACATTTAACTGAGCTGAGAGGAAATCAGTTTATACTTTGACCAAACTACTTAGTTTAACTAAGAATTAAATGAACATCTGCTGAAGTAATTATTTTACAATGATAGGCAGTAATCCTACAATATATGTACTTACCTGAACTCAGTAGTAGTGAGTACCAAGTTTTCTTGTATAAGAATTTAATAATTAATTTTATTTTTTTCCTTATGCAAAAAGTTCCCTACACTGTAAAAATATTAGAGATGGTTTCAACATTTGCACCAAGCTACACTGCCTGTCAACATACTTAATTCAAAAACTGTGTAACAAGACAACTCAGAACTTGAATTATGTTTGGCCATGTTGTCTTGAGAAGTAAAACACTGTTTGCCCTGTCTTATGGTTTTGTTTTAAAATATGCCAAAATATAAATTATTGCAGTATGTTTTATGTGGGCCTGCCCTGATCAGAAACTGTAATTGTTTTAAACTACAAGCACCAGAATAGAACTGGGAAATACCTTTCTATTCTTTAAAATTTGTTCTTTATAGTTCTAACTTAAAGATGGCCAGACAGGTTATTACAGTAAGTGTCAAATACTCTCCTCTGGGTTCTAATGTTATTAATAGCAAGGAAGGGACTAATTAGAAATTTAGACTTTTCAGTGGTGACATCTCGATTCTGGAATCTTCCCATTAGGATGATTCATGTAATGGTGAGTTTTGTATTTTTCAGCAACCTGCTAAAATGTGTTTTTGAGTATGAAATGCTTCTTTTGTGATATATAATTTCTTAACATAGATTCAGATTGTATTGTCAATTGCTACAATAATTCTCTGGAGTGGAAAGTGGAGTAACAGATGGTATCGGAAGAAAAATACTTTCTCGTGGTGATGCTTACAAGGAAATATCTCTTCCTGAAAGTGCAGATTTTAAAAACGTGTGTCTTTATAAGCATGTGCATAATCTCCTCATTTACTGCTCAAATGAGTATTTTAATCTTTAGGCAAATAATTTAAAGAAAATATAATAGAGGTTGGATTAAACAAACAACAAAAACTCAACCCTTATAGGGCTGTTATTTTACCTATTCCTGGATGCTCAGCCACAATATTCACACGATATTCCTTACAGAATACTTGGTAGGCAGACATATTTTTCTTCTTTGGCTAATTAGAAAAGGGGGGGGAGGGAGATAATATTTTACAGTATGTACTAGTATCAATTTCTTTCTAATGCCTACAAAAATAACTGAAAACCCATTTCATAGTACATTTCTTTATACATTAGTACCTGAGCTGATTTTTTTGTTATGGAGCATATGTTTTTAGCAAACAATAGTTTTATAGTTGAAGGGGAAAATGCAGTATTTCTTATTGCCTTCATGATGATAATGAAAAAGACAGCATCTAAAACATTTTGCAACATAAAAACCTCTGGAATAAATAACAGATTATGGCTTAAAATCTGGAGTTACGAAGAACATTTTGAAGTTGCTATTACAACAACCAACCATAACTTATAGTACTCACTTCCTATGCAGTTTTACCTTTTCTTTTTCAATTTTCTCAATCTTCTCTTTTTCTTCTTTCTTCTTCTTTTTCTCATTCAGGCCATCTGTACAGAAAACAGGTGGTAATGGTGAGGGAGGAGGAGGGGCAGGTAGAGCAAACTGGATGCTAGCTGGAGAAATAGGCAGTTGTGGTGTTATTTCTACTGCTGCTGGTGATGAAGAGAGTCCAGAACTCTTCTTCAATTTAGAGTGTTTTTTCTCCTTGTGTTTCTCCTTGTCTTTCTTCTTTTTACTCTTCTTTGATTTCTTTTTCTTTTTTATCTCCCGATATGAATCGTCAATGACTAGTTCTCCAGCTTCCAACTCACCTCCAGATGAAGATCCAGATTCCATTTGTGGTTCCAAGTTGGAAAGCTCAAAGTCACTGCTTTGGCCTTCAGGGAAGAGGGATGTCTCTGGGCTGAAGCCCTCAGCAGGAGAAAGGGGATGGGGATCTGGAGGTGGCTTGTGCTTCTTGCGCGATGATTTCATGAAGCTGTGTGTATCAAGGCTTGGGGGCTGCGAGCTTTGTTCATCCCGAATAGACTTCTTAGAGGTCTTTTTTATAGCTCCAGAATGTGAAAAGGGATCTTCTGTTATGCTACCCCCTTTCTCTTTTGGCGAGAGGATTAACTTCATTTTTAAGCCATCAGGTTCACGTAAGGTTAGCATTTCAGTGTTTACATATGGTGGTTTTATTTTTTTGGATTTGTGGAAAGTTCCATCATCCAAGGGTGGATCGCTGCTTCCACTCAGCTTCTTCTTGTGATGTTCCTTCTTACTCTCTGAATAACTGGAAGCACTGAATGAAGAATGAGATGATTTTTCCAAAGTCCTTTTAGATGATTTGGAGCTAGTGGCTAAAGGAGTGTTGATGGCTTTAAGCAAATCCATGGCAGAGAGTGAAAAAAATTGTTGAGAGTGAAAAACAATTACTTTTTCCTATTCTTTGATGACTCCAAAGTTCAAAAGGATAAAAGTCTAAAAGAATACAGAAAAAAACAGGTAAAAATAAGTACATGCACCAGACATCAAAACCAACTGTATCTTCATTTACAAACTGTCCTAATGTCAGGTTATTAAACTACCCAGCTGAAAAACTTCAGCTGTTGTTCTTACAAAGGATTTTACCCTAAGGCTTCTGGATTATTAATCTTATATTCACAATCTTATATTCTCTTTTAGTGAATTGTATAAATAAAGTACACAATGCAACAATTTATTTAACATCTTACACCTCATTTTCTGGATTTGCAAGAAAGGAAAACTGCAAAATACAATATATTATCAATATTCAAAATCATATTATGTAGGGAACAGAAAACAGTATTTCGAGTAAGAAATCAGAAGTCAGAAAAATAAAACACAGGGCTGGAGTAGCAAGAAACTAAACATAAAATGCCTAAAACATGTGTAGGGCTAGATATATATAAAACAGGTACCAGGCAGATTTTCAAGAACAGGGATTTCCACAACTGAATACCCCCAAGATGGATAATATGACTAAAGCCCTGTCCTATTTTAGGTATCCATTACACCCATTAAAAAAGTGCAGGGCTTCAACTGCATAACCACACCTGCCATTTTGACTTTTTTTGACATTCTCTCCTCAGTAGAACTCCCACAGGAATGTTCAGCTGTGCTTTTGCTTTTCTCAAATAAATATCTTTGGATCTTGGTTAAGATGTGTGGTGGGAAAATACCAAGAACCAGAAAGTTTTTAAAGATCAAAAGCAATACTCAGAAATGTAATGGCACCTGGTGAACATGATGGAATACTGCTTAATATACTCATGATGTCCAATATAAAGTATTATGGTAGTAGCACTATTTTGATCCACCTGATTACTTTTAAAGGCAGAATCATAAATTGTGACTGATTGAATGAATACAATATTAATCTAGAACAGCGGTTCTCAACCTATGGGTCACGACCCCATTTGGGGTCGATTGACCATTTCTCGGGGGTCGCCAAACAAGGCGATCCGCCATTTTTCCCCCTCGGGGGGCAGCGGCGCACATGCGCGCTGCGCATGAGGGCGGCGCCGCGCATGCGCGGCACGTTTCTGTGACGGGGGTCGCCGTCACACAAACGTTGAGAAGCACTGATCTAGAATATTGACTAGAAACTAACTTAGGTATTTTTAGAAACTATTTGAGATAAAAGAGATAGAAGAGACAAGAAGGTTGAGAAGGTTGCTCAATGATTACTGCTGCTTGACATCTACTGATTGTCCGTTGAATTGTTGATTGCACTGATTGCAGTTAATTACTGAGATGACACTGGAGCATGGTTTTAACACACCTGGAAATGTGAGAAGTTCCTGGACAAGATAGATGAAACTCCTCAGGAAAGACACAGAAAAGTGAACACCAGAGAAGGGGAAGACAAGTAGGAAAATACTCAGTGCTAGTGGAATTTGGTAGCTGATATTATAGTTTTCTTCTAGAAGACAATTCATGGCTACTCTAATAGTGTGCTAATCCTGGTTTCTCAAAATAAAGTGGGCCAAAGAAACCAAATAACCACTTTAAGGAAAAAGAAAGTTGTGGTGATTGGTGATTCTTTGCAGAACCAATGTAGCAGTGAGAGATTTGATATAACATCTGGAAGGTGATTTATATAGGGATGAATTTTATTACCTGAAACTCTTAATACAAGGTATCAAATATGCCATAGGCATTACTGAAACTTAGTGACACACGATGGACACACAGCTCTTCTTGTATCTTACTCAAAAGGAAGAGACTCAACAAAAAGAGAGGGTATTGCACTGAAAATAAAGAAATCATATACCTGTACAGAAATTCATAACAAAATATCATTATTATAGATTGCCTGATAGGAAATGTGGATATGAATGAGATTGATGTGGTCAAATATCCAAGCTTACAAGAGCCATGTGATATCAACAATAGATGTTTTGATCTATCCTGGCACGGGCTGGAAATTCAAACTCTTGTCAAGCATTAGAGATCTCACAACCTCCTTTCTTGTTAACAACTTTATTTGTCAGAACATGGAAGAAGGAATAAAAGAGCCTGATATCTATCATACACATAATATTTACCAATAGCAAAGAATTGGCTGAAGGATGGGAAAATGACCCAAAAGTGCGAAAGTGACCAGAAAGAGCAGATTTTGATTAATTCAGCTGGACAGTAGGCCACATCCAATAGCTTGAAATCCTGCAAAACAGTGTTTGGGAAGCTTGGGAAATCCTGCAAAATTAGCTAGTGAAGGTATAGGTCAGCGGTTCTCAACGTTTGTGTGACGGCGACCCCCGTCACACAAACGTTATGAGCATGCGCGCCGCCCCCCATGCGCGGTGCACATGCGCGCCGCCCCCCATGTGCGGTGCGCATGCGTAGCGCTGCCCCCGGAGGGGAGAAAATGGCGGATCGCCGCCTTTGGCGACCCCCGAAAAATGGTCGATCGACCCCAAATGGGGTCGCGACCCATAGGTTGAGAACCGCTGGTATAGGTAGTCTTTAGGTTATGATCATCAGATCATGAGAAATAATTATCCTGTACTCTGTCTTGTTTAGGTACTACTTGGAATACTGTGTCAGGTTCAGGGCACCCTTGGAATATCATTGAACAGTAATAAATTCAGAGAATGGCTGCCAATATGAAAACCAAATCCTGTGAGGAACAGTTGATGGAGCTGGGCATGTTTAGCCTGCAGAAGAGAATGAGGGGAGGCAGGATAGCAACGTTTGATATCTAAAGAGTTATCATATAGAAGTAGTTCCCAACTTACAAGTATTCATTTAGTGACAGTTCAAAGTTATAGTGGGATTGAAAAAAGTGACTTTCAACCGGTCCTTGCACTTGCAACTATTGCAGCATCCCCATAGACATGTGACCAAATTTGAGTGCTCGGCAACCAGCATATATTTATGATGGCTGCAATGTCCTGGAGTCACATGATCACCATTTGTGACCTTCCCAGCTAACTGCCAACAAGCAAAATCAACGGAGGAAGCTAGATTCACCTAATGACTATGTGATTCACTTAACAATCACCCTGCTTAGCAATGGAAATTCTGGTCCCAATTATGGTCTTAAGTTGAGGACTACCTGTAGAGGATGAAATGAACTTGGACTCTGTTGCCCTAAACAACAAAGCCAGAACTAATGGGTTGAAACAAAATGGAAATAGATTTAAGCTATATCTTGGTTCGCAAATGGGGCACCTCAACAAACTCACAGTGATGCCATGGAATATTTTATATTTTTGTGATGTTCATTTGCAAAGCTGGGTTTCTGGTGGTGGTTGTGTTAAAAAGGAGGTACCATGCAAAAATCAATGTGGAGCAGCAAATAAGGGGTGATGGTATCCAATATGAGTCCAAAGTTTAAGAAACTGTGAAGTGCCCGAGAAATGAACACATCCTATTAGTAAGTAACATGGTTATTTAAGAATGAAGTGAACATATATTTTCTTTCTATTTATGTTAATGATTTTTGTCAATTGATTATTATATAGTTAGGACATAATATGCTGTTTGGACCTAACCATGTAATAAACAGAACAGTTAGGCATTTATTTTGGCTGTGGAAAAATTACTGAGACACTAAGGACTGTGAATTGTGAAAGACTGGGAAGCTCTGGGTTAGATATTAGGTATTACATACATTTTTCTCTTAATGATATTATTTCTTGTTATTTTTAAATATCCCACAAATTTCCTATATTTTTCCAAACAGTTTGATTTCAGTTATTAGGAACAGTTTCTCCTCTGTAATTCTCTCATTCTCTGTTACTGAAATTTTCTTCTGTTGCCCAGATAATCTTTATTTATATATAATCTTTAATCTATATTTTTAACTAATGCCAATTTATTGCATCACAATTTTATAATTATTTTGATAAATGAAGAGATATATCATGCTAATTCTTTTAAATTTAGAAGACATATGTAGAATAAAATGGCCCTATCCCTTACATTGTCTTCAATGAATATAAGCATACATTTTAATACAAAAGGAAAGTAAACTGGAACCATTCTGATTTGGATATTATACATCAAGAGAAAACTGATTAAATATTTTTTTAAAAAATGTTTTTCCCCATTCTGATTAGAAAATCATTGCCCAAGAAAAAAATGAATAATTGTTTTAAAGAAAAACTGTGAACCTTTCCCAGAAACTATTCCTCCCCTATTTTTTTTAAAATAGCCTAGTAGTGACTAACAGAAGATAAAGAGTTACATTTCTGTGACTGGTGAAAAGGGAACCATTTTTCCACTCTTAGTTTATTTGGTCTTCGTATGCCAGACTAGGCTTCTCATTACCTTACATGGAATTCTAGGATTAACCTCCATATAATTGTTGTTTAAAAATGGTTACCAAATTAGTGCTTAAATACAGTTTTACCTAAGATAGTTTTAAAAGATAAAACAAATCCATAACTGCAACACATGCTTACATTAAATCAGTGGTTCTCAACCTTTTTAATGCCGCGACCCCCAACTGGTTGTAAGTTGAGGACTACTCAACCGGTCGTAAGTCAAGGACTACTCAACTGATGCAGCACCGTTTGCAGAATGGGACTTTTGGCGGGCTCAGCAGGGCAGAGACAGCCTGGACAATTCCTATTGGCTTTTGAAAACCAATAGAATTAGACTCTATTCAAGAGAGTCTATTCTATTGGCTTTTAAAAGCCAATAGAATAAAAGGGAGTAGCACAGCTAAGGAAAAGGGGGAAAAAATGGCGGACTGCGTTGTTTGGCGACCCCCGTGAAATGGTCGTTCGACCCCAAATGGGGTCCCGACCCACAGGTTGAGAACCACTGTATTAAATCTTTTATATTTAAAACAGAATATCTGAACATTAGAAGAAGAGAACAGAAATTATGATCAAAATGATCTGCTTATAATTCAAATCTCACTAATCAGATTTCAAAACAGAATGCTTCGCTAAATGGAGTAACTCAGCAAGAATATTTTTTATTTTTATTGTCAATTTTTTAGCTATTCCACAGTATTTTACATAATAACAATAAGAACTTCTTAAGTTCTTTAACATTTACCTAACTTCAACAATGGTCAAAGTTAAAAGGCTGAAATTAAATTCAAACATGTGAGAAGTGCTGTTGAGCTACAGGAAACCTGGTAAAGAATTGAGGTTTACCTTATTCTGGATAGTAAGTGCTTTTCAGCTGTTTTAACATTCAAACTTGTGAAAGGTATATCTAGTTGGGTCCAACATCATTTAATAATAAATAAATAAATAAATTTATACAGGTCTGAGCTACATCCCAAACTGATCACAGCAATGTATTCTACATGAAGCTACTATATTCCAGAATAGTTTCTGGAAGTTTCAATTAATGAAAAATGCAGCAGTTCATGATACTGGATATATATTACACTTGTGTTAAAAGTTCAGCACTTATTGCCAATTATTCTGTAAAATAGTTTAACATGTTTGTTTTAACATCCAAACTCCTAAATCTATTCTGATGAGTTTGTATGCTGAAAAAATGCAAAAGTAACTCTCTTGAAGTTGCCTTTACTTTTCAAGGTCTGTTTGCTGGACCACAGCAGAGGGCCTTCTCTGCTCTTGCTCTCAAGCTATGTACACTCCCTCAAGAGCTGCACTTGGCTCCCATTCTTGCCACTTTTCAGAAAGGACTCCCCCATGGGCAGAAAAATGGGGTATAAATGAAATAAAGATAGTAATATTAGTAGTAATGGTAATAACAATAATAAACATTTATAATTTAACTTTTTAGATGCTGGAATTTAGATTTCAGTTCATAGAATAATGACACGGAATAATAAACTCATTGTCAATGCATTCCTAATTCAATTGTTACCATTTTAACAAAATCAGAGCAGAAAATCTTCTCCTTCTCTCAGTTTTCTCACCTTCAGTCTATGTTCTGTATTCCTCCTGACTTGAGCAGCTCTCTCCTCCTTTTCCGGAAGCAGATCCTTATAGGAACGTTTCTTTTCTTATTGGGTTCTGCCAGCTGCTAGTCCCACACCATCTATTTGGTTATTACCTAAGAAAGGAATACAATTAAGATGAAAGGAAGCCTTAATTATAAGATACCACATTATGACCCCGAATAAATGATGATGCAGAAAAGAAAGCAGACAATACAGGCAGACACCCATTCCCATTTAAACAACAGTGGTTCTAAGTTGTAAGTATGCTTTTAAAAGAATGAAATTGTATTCTTATTCAATTCCTTCCCTACGATAAGAATTGAAAAGGCTGTGCATACAATCAAGGACATAGATATTAGTATAGTGCCATGCAGAAATTTTGCATCGGGCTCTAAATTGAATTATTATTCGTTGGAGCAGACAGAATTAAGAATTAAGACAGAATTCTACCCTATCAATATTCTATACTATTCTTTGTGACACTCTTGTTCCAGTCCTGATTCCCTCAAAGTTGAGAATAAGGATATGAAAAGCTGTAGACACCCAATCCATGCAAGGCATTGTCCCCCCCCCCCCAGACTTTGGCTGGGCTACTATATTTTTCATAACATCTCTTAGATTAAGAAATAATCCTACCATTTTTTCTGGGAGTCATCATAAAGTCATGTCTCTCCTGCAGGGATCTGGGAATGTGTTGCCACATCTAGCCTCCTTCCCAACTACAGAGTAAGGTCTAAGAAACAGAAAATAAGAATCACCCTCCCATAAAGTGAGAATCATAATGCAGAAAGGAACTAAATATTTGAAATAATGAAAAGTAGAAGGATGAAGAGATGTTACTATCTACAACGTATGTTTACCCTTCAAAGAGATCAAAGCACAGAGAAAGGAACTAATTTTAACAAGAATTCATTTATCCAATGTCCTTATTAATAGATAGAGAAGGAATTCTTATTAAGATGATAGCTAATGTTCTATTTCAAGTAGCTGGATGCTAGGTTCCAGATTTTATTTAAAAACAGTGATCAAATGGCTTTTATAATGTTACAAGACCTTTCAAATAGAGAGCTGTATTTAATTCCATGTATTTTAAGTTAAGGTTATATATAATGAGAGTATGAGATAGAATTGTGAGGTATATAGCCACCAAGAGTAGTTTTTGATTATGTCAAGACATAAATGAAATAATCCACTTGGAAACTGCTTTTGGACTTTGTTACTGAAAATGAAACATTGACTTTGTTTTGCTGATTAGATAAGTTTGTTGTCATAGAAATGGCTAGTATGTACTACTATGTAAAAATAAAAAGTTGAGACTGTATGTTATTTTATTCTACTGTGCTAAAAAATTAGAAGCCAGTGCTTTTGTTCCTTTTCCCCCTACACTTTCCTCTCTTCTCTCCCCCCCACTTTCCCACTATTTTCCTTTCCTTTTATTTTATATTCTAATAAATAAAAAGAAAGAAAACAGGAAAAAAGAAAACTCTCCTTTCCCTGAGCTCTGCAGCATTTTCAGCTTCTTGTGATCTAAGTTGTTCAGAGGTTCCTCATCTTGGCTCATGAATGACAGTTCAGTGAGAAGGGCAAATGCTATGTCTGTTACTGAAGCCTTCCTTCTCTCCTATAAGAATGACAGCTGCTTAAGAGTTTCTTCCAGAGCATATTTTTTAAAATTGTTTTGGAGCGTAGCAATAAGGCAAAAAAAAAATAGTTCCAGGATTAATTTTTTTAAATTTATTTTTGTATGAACAACAGTTTCAACCTCCGCTTCTAAAAGGCAGCCAAAACAAGCTAAATTACAACTGATGCGCTCCCGCGACAGAAAAACTTTCCCTCGGTATAAATGGGAAATACAAAGCTCAACTGTCAAAAGACTTTATTCATTACAAGCGCTATAATGCCTTGGAAGACAAATCCCGAAGAACACAATCATCCTCCATCAAGCGAATGCCTCCTAGATAATAACAGTTCCCGCCACAAGTCTCTCTGGCAGCCTGTTGCTTATTCGGCGTTACCGTCCTTCAGCCAAGCCCAACACACGCGCCCCTCTTCTCCCGGTTGTGCTTACAGTGAGAGATCAGGCCTCACACAGACAGTTAGGCACGAGCCGTAAAATCCGTCAAACAGCGTCCTCTCCCTCCAACCGCGGCAAGAGGGCCGCCAGGACAAGGATGTCGGCGCCGGCCCGCAGAGGCGTCGCCGGGGATAGCCGCAGCCTCCCGCAGGCCGCGCTAACAGTGGCCTGAGTCCCGCCCCTCGCGAGAAGGCGGAGAGGCGCGGGATCTCGCGAGAGTCAGTAGAGTAGACATCGCGCGAGATTTCAGCGGGAGACGGTGCGGCCCTTGGAAGTTTGTCTCTCGTGGGTTTTGATAGCGGAACAAATCGGGCGGGCCAACTAGGGGCAGTTTTTACAATACTTAACAAGTTGTTCGCGTCTCTGCTTGGTTCGGCGCAGAGCGGAGTGTCGGATCAAGCGTCCGTGGCTCCCCAAATGTGGGGATGCGGTCACCAAAGACGATGCTATTTCCTTAATTCGAGCATCGCGCTCCATGGGGCGCTTTTCGACTGCTCCTAGTCCTGCTGAACGGCAGACATTTCAACCGATAATCATATATGTTTCACAAAACAAATTTAAGACCGTTCAAGTTTTCTTAAAAAGATTTCCTAGTCCTTAGGTTCAAAGGCATGATTTTAGGATTCGTTCGTTTAGGAGCCTCTCTTAGCTTGACTAGCGACCGACGGTGTAAAATGCCTCTTTTCAAGCTGTTTGAAATTGGAAAAATGGCAGGGTGAAATAATTGTATTAAAAAGAGGCACGAGTGCATCTAAGATCTAACCTTATTTAAAATTTGTAATGTTTTCATTGCTTTTGAGTCCAGAGTCGCAAGAGTAGGTAGAGTGGCAGTCTATGCTAGCTCAGAAAGTTTGACTAAGGGAATTATTTTACAATTGTTTGTTTATTACAGCAATGTTTATTACAGTCATGTGCCAGAATCCCAAACAAAAGTATTAAAAACAATAATAGTAAAAAACAATAATAAAAGGAATAAACTGGTTAATATTGCAGTTGGTAGTGGATTATTAGTATGCAGTTAAAGTTTGCTTAATTTTACAAACAACATAGCAAAATTTGGCCATATTCAAAGAAACTACTTTCACTGATCTGATAGTTGCATGGAACAAAGATCAGTATTTCCCAGATATTTTATTAGGTAAGGTGTTATAAATTGAGTCTGTTCTTATAGAACAGGGGTCTTCAAACTTGGCTTTTTTATAACTTGTGGACTCAGCCAGAATTCCTCAGCCAGCATTGCTGAAGTCCACAAGTCATAAAAGGGCTAAGTTTGAAGACCCCTGTTATAAAAGATGCTATACATTAATTTAAACAATGCATTAAAAGTTACACATTAAAATACTAAACACTGCTGTAACTGGCTAAGAGCCAGATGTGCTGAGGGTGAGATCTTACCCCATCTGCCAGTGTTGAGTGTCCTCAGGGCTGCAGGCCACATGGCAAACCCACGTATTAATACCTTCAGGAAGGCCAAAAGGGTGGGGGCAGTTCTTACTCTAGTGGTAGAATGTTCCACAGGGATGGGCCACAGTGAAAAAGCCTCTTCTTGATCCTGCCTGCTTCAATTTCTTGGCAGAAGGGATCCATAACGCATCTATGACACAAGTTGGGCAGGTTTGTCCCATTGGGGATAGATGGCTCCTCTGATACAATTGATATCATTACAGTTGTTTGGAAATCAATATAAAAATCACCCTAGGAAAATAATGCTTCTATTGTTTGCAATTACAATTTAAGTCATCTTATTAGTCAGTTTTTCTATAGCAGTGGTTCTCAACCTTTTTAATGCCGCGACCCCCAACTGGTCGTAAGTCAGGGACTACTCAACTGGTGCAGCACTGTTTGCAGAATGGGACTTTTGGTGGGCTCAGCAGGGCAGAGATAGCCTGGACAATTCCTATTGGCTTTTGAAAGCCAATAGAATTAGACTCTATTCAAGAGAGTCTAATTCTATTGGCTTTCAAAAGCCAATAGAATAAAAGGGAGTAGCACAGCTAAGGAAAAGGGGGGAAAAATGGTGGACTGCGTTGTTTGGCGACCCCCGTGAAATGGTCGTTCGACCCCAAATGGGGTCCCGACCCACAGGTTGAGAACCACTGTTCTATAGATTGGATGGCAGGTAGCACACAGTCTGATTTACCAGTCTACCTATTAAATAAATCCTTAATAGCATTTTTTGATCAGCTTGTCTACTAGGCACAAGGCCATCTGAAGAAATGTGTTGTTCATTGCTGGGCTACATAGTTATAAAAATATGGCTGCTAATATCAATATTCTCCATTCAGCTTTTGAAGACTTTGATCTTCTCATTTTCTCTCAGCTCAACCAATCGCACAGAATTGTACAGGAAAACAGGAGGAAAGAGCACTAAACTATCATGAGCTTCTTGACAAAAGGCAGGAACATGTGAACTATAATCGTACATAAGTATAACCAGTGCTTTTTTTCTAAAAAAAAAAAAAAGGTGCTGGAACTCACACATGTCATACAACCAGCCTTGCCTACCCTACAAGGTTCCATCCAAAAAAGGTGCCGGAACTCCGTTCTGGGCGTTCTATGTGAAAAAAAGCCCTGAGTATAACTATTGCACCAGTCATTACAAACCAGTAAAATTTAAACTTAAAGCTCGAGATCAATAGGACATAGAGGATTTATTTATTAATTAAACAAATTTATATACTGCTCAATTCACACACGGTGAAGCCAGGTGATATACAGCAATAAAACTCCCAAACCCTGCCTTCCGTCCCATGGCAATGACAAACATTCAAACATGCCACTTTATTGGCTCCATAATCTGGGGTCCCCAAGCCCACTGACAGAACCATATTTTAAGAGCCTTTCAGAATAATAATAAGATGGGGATTAATCTTAATCTGGGGAATAATGGTCCACAGTGAGGGAGCCACTTCGAGAAGGTATAGTGCAGCGTACCAAGCATATAGTCATTTAACTGTATGCACATATAATGAAATTTGGTTATGTACTATATTAGAAAATATTTCAGAATTTATTTCAGAGAACATTTAATTGGAACATAACATTCAATCAGGTTTTAACGACATCATTTGGCTTATGTTGCATTACTCTAAGGATGTTGCTAATTACTGCTAATTAATTCAGAGTTCTATATATGTCTGCAAGATGTTGATATGTCATGAGCTTTCAGTGATTGGTGGAGGTTTTTTTTTTAAAGCCCAGTTTGTACTTTTTATATAAGCAAATCCAATACTGCTTCTGATTCTGTATGCAAAGCCTCAAGAAGACCAACACACTGGAGGCAATTTTAGCATCAGAAGCTGAAGATTTTTTAATAGTCTATTAATAAACAAACTGTCAGGACTAAAATAGAAGTACGATTAGAAAATAAGGATAGAAACTTAGTGTCCGTCTCCTATTTCATGGGAAGCATAAATGTAGTCCCTTTGAAGGTCAGTTATTTTACCAATGATTTAGCAGTGTTGCATTCCATACATGGTTGAAAAGACATCATTTCATTCTTAAAATGCCTGGGTTCCTTGATAGTTTTGTATTTTAATTAAAATTCCACTCACTGCTTTTGCTTTAAGCTGCTTTATCCTGTCCAAAGCATACAGAATTCACATAATGAATTCCCTCTGAAAGCTGTTTAAAAATGTGCTATCTTCAAAGTCAAATTGCTGTATGGCTCTATATCATTTATTTTCATGAAGCATTTAGAACAATTGCATCCTATTTCAGTCTGGCATCAGCCAATAGTGGGATTGCAATTCCCAATCCCAAAACATCTGGAAAATTGCCAAATTGCAAAAAGCTGTTTCGTTATTATTAAGCCAAATATGACCATACACTTTTCTGCTTAGTTCTGTTTCCTGTTCTCCTGCTCCAGTTTTTTTGTTCGCTAAAAAATTGAAAGAATGTGAGATAGAGGCCTGTCACATCCATTCTTTGTGAAGTGCTATTTACATGGCTGAAGAAATAATTATTATCTTGCATTTATTATAGTTGACTTTGACACTGAATATTGTCAATAAATTACGGTAACTTGAAAACAGGGTTCTTTATTGAATTCAAATTCTGAGTTGAATTTAATTATTTTTCTCTCATAAATTGATGAAGCTAACAAAATAGGGTTAGCTCCTTTTCTAATCAGAAGACTGGGCCTTAACATTTTCCAGAAAATAGAAACTTTTCTTTGAATTCTTCTATCTAGCAACAGTCCCCAGTAGCTAATCTGCAGGCTCAAATCAAATATGCGTACTTGGACTTTCCAGGAAATGGAATTGGCACAAAGAGGATATATACAGATTTTATCTAAAGCACACTTTAGGTTTACTGTCAGATATTTATTTTCTATAAATACAGGGGCCTTAGTTGCTTACAAAACATACTGTATTGGTGTGTTCCATCAATGGCCTAAGTCCTCCTGGAGAACTTGAGAGCAGTTATTTCAACAGCTGAGTGATGGGGATTTCCATACCTGATATCTAGCTCCATTGACATAATAAACGAAAACAGTATTTCGATTTAATAAAAGTTAGCTTTCTTGTCATACACTGGTATTGTTATCAGATGTAAGTGTCATTTAATTTAACAGATGTACTACTATAAAACATTTTCCATTTTCTACCATGAGAAATATAGCTATTCTAATGGCAAAAGATGCATTCATTTCTTATTCAATCCACAGTAATTGTACTTTTATTTTCTTTGGAGATCTCCTACTGAGCCTATTTTAGTTCTTTTTAACTTGCTTCTGGGTTATTTTTTGTTCCTTAATTGTTTCTACTTGAAGAAACTTGAAGGAAAAATTATAATGACTAATTGATTTGCAAATGATCAATGCTTAACCACCCTCATAAATTGCTTTGGCAAAATTAGCAGAATGAACAGCTGTTGGCATGCATTTATTGCAGTAATAAATGTAAATAAATTTGAAAACATTGTTCACATGAAATTCAGCTATATTTGTAGTGAAAATTGGCATGCATTTATTGCAGTAATAAATGTAAATAAATTTGAAAACATTGTTCACATGAAATTCAGCTATATTTGTAGTGAAAATTAGAGATAAATTAGGTTCAAGAAGGAGATTGAACATAGGAAAAGAAAAGGAGGAAGATGAAGAAAGAAAAACTTGGTGTTTTATTATATTTTGTCACCTTCATTACTTCTCATGGTAAGATAGAACATCATCTGCTACTTTATCT